TACATCTTAATATTTTCAATATTTAAATTCACTACCATCTCTTCATGCCTATGAACAGGAAAATATTTCCGCAAATGAATGTGAGTGTGTGTGTTGGAGCCTTGTACCAGACAGGCCTTAGGGATCGACCTGTATATTACACGCATCGTAATAATGGCTGTACTATTTAGAGATGTATTTACGGACTTCTGCTGTCCTCGAGAAACTAAGCTGGTCATCTCCCCAGTCAGTGTAGCACGCGCCGCCCTATGTCGATTCCTATATAAGTCTATCGATTTTTTGAGGATTGGTATGTCGCATTACAGTAATCCCGTAAAAACTACGATACGTGGCATTTTCCCGTTGCAAATTAAATGTGTACCTACATACATTGTACGACTCAGGGTCGTCTCGATAAGGAATCCTACAATACAAAACTATCTGCTCTGTGTTAATCATTTGCATTGTTGAGTTGTTATAAAGAAACTTTACTTTGCGTCCCATATTTTAACAATATGATGAAAGTGATTGTTTGGCGGTCGTTCGCTTTCAAGTGAAATCAAACGAGTCTAGTACGTGCTTCATCGCCCAGAACGTTCAACATCATATTCCACGTCTTTATATAAAATACGAATCAAGTGATTTGACTGAGATATAAAGTTGATGTGAAATGACAATTGATATATTGCTAGGGCTTTTTGTAATAGTGAACTATAAAATATCAGGGGAGATAACTCTCATAATATTGCACCTATATTATGTAACGTAACATGTCGCTATAAATAAAAAGGGTTTGTTAATTCAACAGAACTGATGGACCCACTCCAGTGAAGTCTCTCCCGATAACTGCTAATTGCTGTCTCAATTTAGAAGATCAATATTGTTCAAAAACTGAAGTTCTGCCCACGCTCAGTTCTTCAGTGTTTCCCAGGGATCAGTAGTGCTTTATGGCGTCATCCCTCTTTTTAAAAAAAAATAAAAAATCCCGCTTTCAAATTGAAGTAATATTCCATAAAGTCGTGTGGTGAAATATGGTCACAAACACATTTAATGAAAAAAGGCATCCTCCTAATTGTTAAATTCATGCTTGGTCAACAAAAATGTTAAAATGAATTAGTGTATTTTCATTTTTAAGCGTACATATACTTGTGCAATATTATAATTTATGACTTTCATTTTTTCCTGAATGATAGTTATATTTTGTTAAGCATGTTTCATAAATCGCTTACAAGACATATATAAAACCCTCTCTCAGCGCAAAGTGGTTCCACATAGAATGGCATAACCCTCTCCAATGGCTATGGCTCAACCCTCTCCTATAGATATGACTCAACCCTCTCCAATGGCTATGACTCAACCCTCTACTATAGAAATGACTCAACCCTCTTCTATAGATATGACTCAACCCTCTCCAATGGCTATGGCTCAACCCTCTCCTATAGATATGACTCAACCCTCTCCTATAGATATGACTCAACCCTCTCCAATGGCTATGACTCAACCCTCTCCTATAGATATGACTCAATTATTTCCTTTAGCAAACCTCAGCCCTTTCCGTTAGTTAAGACTCCAATCTCTCTCCCCCATAGATCAAGCTCAACTCTATCTCTAACTAAGACTTAATTCCCTCCCATAGCTAAGACTAAACTCTCTCCGTAACTAATATGCATAGCCAAGACTCCACTCTCTCTATAACTAAGACTCCACTCTCTCTATAACTAAGACCCATATATAAGAATAACCTCTCTATAACTAAGAACCATAGCTAAGACTCCACACTCTCTCTATAACTAAGACCCATAGCTAAACATAAACTCTCTCTATAACTAAGACCCATAGCCAAGACTCCACTCTCTCTATAGCTAAGACCCATTGCTAAGACTCCACTCTCTCTCTATAACTAAGACCCATAGCTAAGAATAAACTCTCTCTATAACTAAGACCCATAGCCAAGACTCCACTCTCTATATAGCTAAGACCCATAGCTAAGACTCCTCTCTCTCTATAACTAAGACACATAGCTAAGAATAAACTCTCTCCATAACTAAGACCCATAGCTAAGAATCAACTCTCTCTATAACTAAGACCCAAAGCTAAGACTCCACTCTCTCTATAACTAAGACTCCACTCTCTCTATAACTAAGACCAATAGCTAAGAATAAACTCTCTCTATAACTAAGACCAATAGCTAAGAATAAACTCTCTATATAACTAAGACCAATAGCTAAGAATAAACTCTCTCTATAACTAAGACCAATAGCTAAAAATAAACTCTCTATATAACTAAGACCCATAGCTAAGAATAAACTCTCTCCGTACTCAAGACCAATAGCTAAGACTCAACTCTCTCCTTAATTTAAGACCCATTTTTTCTCCCATAGCTTAGGGACTTAATTATCTCCCATAGCATATATATATAACTGGCTCTTCCAAAGCAAATAAAACCAAATCTGCTACTTTCATTTGATTACAGTTTATTTCCTGTCTTTATAATCATGCAAACATTACATGTACATAATCAGACAACATTTAATGTTACAAATTTCCTTCAGGAATAACAGCTGTATAACAGACCTAATACTTATTACAAAGACGCCACGCTGAAACAATAATAATGACAAAAAACATGTATATTTACAATGACTGCCAGATGATTATGACAGAATGGTTGGTGATTGCAACGACTTAAGATGAAAATGATGTAAATATTAACAATAATTAACTATGAAATGATAGAAGTTTGAAACAAATTATTCTACACAGTGGTCAGTTGTTCAAAAGGTGATGTGTTTTATTAGTGATTAGCACAACTTTCACTTTTTTCATATTTTTAAAATACAGCCACTGAATAAGCTGAATAGCTAATATTTTAGTAGAGTAAAATTACAGGCAATATTATAAGTTTTTACCTTGTATATTGACCAAATTATTAGAGGTTGATGAAGCTGATCATCTTTTGAACAACTGGGGCCATGTTGCTTAGATTGACCAAGGGGTTCATCAACTAATGATGAACATGTATTGATGATGAAGATATAGATGGTTGACACGACACATAATTAAATTGTCTGCTTTTTCTTTTGTTTAACCATGGTTAATGATGAAGATGTAGATGGTTACCATGGTTAATGATTAAGATGTAGATGGTAACCATGGTTAATGATGAAGATGTAGATGGTTACCATGGTTAATGATTAAGATGTAGATGTTTACCATGGTCAATGATGAAGATGTAGATGGTAACCATACAGTAATGATGATGTAGATGGTAACCATAGAGTAATGATGAAGATGTATATGGTAACCATGGTTATTGATGAAGATGTAGATGGTTACCATGGTTAATGATGAAGATGTAGATGGTAACCATGGTTTATGATGACGATGTAGATGGCTACCATGGTTAAAGATGACGATGTCGACGGTTACCATGGTTAATGACGACGATGTAGATGGTTACCATGGTTGATGATGAAGGTGTAGATGGTAACTGTGATAGATGATATGTACAATATAAAATATTCACAGTAAGCAGATCTGTACATAAATTAAAGTGAAGCTGTAAACTTCACTGATACCAGACCCACTTAAACTAATGTCCCCCTTTCCACAAGCAAGACAGCACAGGCCAATATACCAGTAGAAGTGTTCTTACCCTGGTAATCTAAAGAACAGGAATACATAATTAAATTGTCTGCTTTTTCTTTTGTTTAAACAGAACCCTATACTGTCAGCTAGTGCTAGTGGGGTTTTTCTAGCACAAAGTTGTCTTTTTTTAAAGAAACATCGACACAGTACCAGTAGTCCCACTGGTCGTTATCAACCAGTGGCTACAACTCATACTAAATCTCACAACCTGGATGACAACAGCATTTTCTCTTTTCATGATCAATATTAAATCAGAGGATAAATGACAGCATTGTAATTTCACAAAACATGATTATCCAATACAAAACAAAGAACAAACATTGCATTACCACATATTTCCTGTTCAGTACATACAATGATGTAAACAAACAAGAGGAAACAAGGTCTTACCCTAAATAACAAATATCAGGCAAATTGATAGACATCCCCCTGAAACTGACATTACTTTTTTTCCAAAATACCAGTCATCAAATCAATTCTCTGTGCCAGATAATATGTTTTACAAACCAAATCTCTTTGTTTTTATGCCATTTATATGAAAATGAAACAATTCAAATATTTCATTGTACCTTACATAGCCTAAAATATAGTATTCAGCTAGAAAATGCCTCACTTAGGTAAACATCTAGTCTTTTTATAAGTTGTTTTTAACTTGTTAGTAAATCAACTTAGGATTATCGGTGAAATTACAAACAGAAGATGAAATTACTGTACCTGGACAAAATCCATGTAATATGTACATGATACAATAACCACTGAAGGTTCTATTTATACAATACCTGAACGAGCAGGTAATTGTCACTGACCTGTAAACAATACACTGTCAGGTTTACTGGACGTCACACTTGTTACCTTGTATAATGACATCACACCTATTTTATATCATCATATGTGAAGACATCATATTTTTCATATTTCAATACAATGGAAATAGCACTTACAACCTACTGATAATTCTCCCTATTTCACAGGTAGAAATATAATAAATAGACATATCTATATATATATATAATTCTCCCTACTTCACAGGTAGAAATATAATAAATAAACTTATCTATATATATATAATTCTCCCTACTTCACAGGTAAAAATATAATAAATAGACTTATCTATATATATATAATTATCCCTACTTCACAGGTAGAAATATAATAAATAAACTTATCTTCACAGGTAGAAATATAATAAATAGACTTATCTATACATATAATTCTCCTTATTTCATAGGTAGAAATATAATAAATAAACTTGTCTATATATATATATATAATTCTCCTTATTCCACAGGTAGAAATATAATAAAAAGACTTATCTATATATATATAATTCTCCCTATTTCACAGGTTGAAATATAATAAAAAGACTTATCTATATATATATATATAATTCTCCCTACTTCACAGGTAGAAATATAATAAATAAACTGATCTCATTCAATCATTTTCCATACAACAAACATTTTGTTCCACATATTAAAGCAACGTTTGTTTTTTAGATTAAAAATTCAGAGAGAGAGACAAATATTCTCTGATAGTCACATTCATTTAAGTTAAATCCTGTATCTGAGCTGACTCACTGAGGCAGACCTTAAACTCTCAGTAAATACACCATGTACTCTGCTAAGGCTGAGTCGTTGATAAATGTTATGTATTAAAGAAAGGATTTAGGTCCTAAAACTTGTCTACTGGTACTGTCGAGGGTTGTGGGTAATTTTTGTACTGTGGTCCAAAGGCCTGACAGATTTGTCTATTGGTACTGTCGAGGGTTGTGGGTAATTGTTGGCCTGGCCTGACAGATTTGTCTACTGGTACTGTGGGGGCTGTGGGTAATTGTTGTACTGTGGACCCGGTGCCTGGCCTGGCCCCACAGAAATCTGTCGCTGGAGCTGACTTATGAGGGCTGCTGGATTGGGCTGCATCTGCTGCTGCTGCTGGTTTGGAATGGGCATCATCCTCCTTTGCTGCATCTGTATCTGCTGCTGCTGCTGTTGCTGCTGCTGGTGTGGACCCATCCTCTGCATGTAGGAGCCAGTCTGAAACACACGACAAACTGCAGGTACAAGCTCATGTATAAACATCATATGAGCTTTTCTGTAACTCGTTAATGTGTACATACAATCTCGTAAGTAACACACTATAAGGCATACAGAAGCTTACCTTTAATAAAGTCAAATGTATGACATACCTGCTAAATGACTACACTATGTTCATGCCCTGTTGGAATACATGACAAAATGTGAAAAAGAGCTTGCCTGTCTGTTTATAGTTGCACACAACTCTGATCCAATCACTATCTAAAACTTAATGTAGTTTCTATTTCTCTGGCTGAATTTTATTGCTTATTTACTGTTTCAAATTCAGTGTCTGATTTTGAACACTTATTCTAAGATGACATTATATAAATCAGTAAGATGAAGACTTCTAAAGTCTAGAGCACACCCTAAAATCACTGCATACATCACAACGGACCTGGAAAACCTGTTTTTTGCAATACAATGTATTTGCATAACAATCTTGATTATGAAATAAAAAGGATATTAATTTTGCTTCTATTTCATTATGGCATTAATGGAACTTGTCATTGATTTGTATTTACTAAATCTCATATGAAATGGAAACTCAAGTAAGATCCTTATGTACAGTTTGTCTTCTATGTTGTCTAAAAAAGAAAGTACAATGTATCTTAACTCTTAAAAAGAAGAAAAGGGGAAAAAATGCATTCCCCCACAAATAATCAAGACACCCAAGGGGCCTGTATTACTCACATGTCATGCAATATTTCATCACAGTCATGAGGGTATTGGTAAACATTATCAAAATCCCCTCACAATCAACCTCAAAACCCAAAGGTTCCAATCTTGATAAACATATATTCTCCATGTATGTCATAATATAGGCCCTTATAGAATTGAAGAATAGAGGTAAGCTATTTGAGTAAAATGTTATAAAAACCTTACCATTTCTTAGTTGATACATGTCCTTTAATAATAACACAGGTGCAGAACCCAACTTCAAAGTTGGTCGATTTTACCATTATGCTTCCTTGTGATTCTTTTGATCCTCATCAAATACATCAGACTGGTCTACTTATATCATCTGCATGGTTTCGTGTAAAGAGCTTTCATTTTGTCATGATATATTCAAGGGTGGGAAAAAAGCCTTGATTTCAAGAATGGACACTTATTACATCCGTAATTTATTAACCAAACTGATGAAAATGGGCTTGAAATTTCAGAAAAGACTGCTGTTATCAGCAATTGTCAGGATACAAGAGGTTTTAACTTCAACAGGGGCTGTAAAACAATACCAGAAGTAGCAAACGCAGCATCACAGAGCATAATAAGCTAATTAATTAGGAACAGATTTTCTCAAATTAAAACTCGGTCTTTGTACATTGTACAGGCTGACATAGTTTTATCAGATAACAAATGAACAAATTATCATGCAGAAACAGAATACAGATGGACAAACAGACAGGCAAGCTTACAATTACAGGGCGCCTGTATCTCCAAGTGTGATGCCCTAATTAGGTCAAAATCCTCCCATCATTTCTGGACTAGAAGTATTTGACATGAAGGCTGGCAATGAATGGACGACATGCCATGGCATAAGCTTATATGGCCGTTCAGGCCTGGTGAACTCAAAATTTAACCCAGGAAAAAAGCTACATAAATAAATATAGATCTACTAGCTTTCCTCCTACAACAAATTTGTTCAAAAATATGTTGATGTTGAATTTTCCAAGGATACAGTGGGGGTATGATCTGATACATTTTTTTTGTATTATCCATATTATATAAATATATAGTTGAAATAGAACTGATCATTGCAATATGAGAAAGATCTGTTAAGTATCTCCTTGGAAATAGTGATGATATTCTAAAACTGTCAAAATCCAAGATGGCCACCTGTCAACCATTTTGTTTATTTCATCAGCCTCAAAAGTAAACATGCACAATTATGGACCAAGGGGAACTTACAAAACAAATTTGAGAAAGATCCATCCAGTACTATCGGAGAAATAGCAATAACAATGTTTAACTTTCAAAATCCAAGATAGCTTCATGATGGCCATTTTGTTTATCCGATCAGTCTTAAAAGTAAATATGCACAACAAGGTACCAAGGGGTTTGTACCTATATATGAAATTTAAGAAAGATCCCTCGAGTACTATCTGAGAAATAGCCATAAAAAGAATTGTTTAAGGATGAACCACAGACAAGGGGTGATAAGAATAGTCCACCATCAGATGATGGTGGGCTAAATATGTTGATGTTAATATTTTTTCTGACAAATGGATAAAAACCATGTATAGTATGGGGGAGTGCGAAGGATGATCTGATACATCAATTTTGTATTATCCATATTATGAAGGTACATTTTCTAATGGTATAGCTAAAATTTTCTATTTACAAGTAAAACTACGCCTCTCACTGTTATTTTTCAACACACCAAAGTTTCTAAAACACACAACCAGATATCACAGTTAACACACCAAAACCATACTTCATGGGAATAAAACAAAAGGAGCTTAGTAACACCAATCTGACACGGACATAGTACCCACCTTTTTAGGCCTACTGAATCGACCCATTCCAAACAGAAAATAAGGCCCCAATTTATGTTGTAAAATAGAAAATGTTTCTAAATTTTCTGTAGATAATTTATTTATTGTATAACGAGGTCCTCCTTAGGAGAATCAACATTTCAAAGTAAGAACAAAACGTAGCCATCACTAAATCATAACATGAAAGGTCCTTAATTTTACTATCACTGGAAATGACAATTATAATGTAAGATAATATGCGAGATGGACTTATAAATTAAGGTAACATGAAATTCTGTAAACGTTTATCCTGCTAGATATAGAAGGAACCTCTTAACATGAAATTTTTATTTCAATGATGCCGGAACAAGCGAAGAATTTATTTTGAGGATGCTTGTTCAAACAAAGGATTCAATGAAAAATCCTGGTTCAAATTAAAGGATGTTCATACAAAGGATTAATACTGGGGTTGCTTGTTCATACAAAGGATAACTTTAAAGATGCTTGTTCACACAATGGATTTACTTTAAGAATGCTTGTGTCAACTTGGAACATTTGTTTAAGTGCTTGCTTCAAAATTATATAAACTTAAGGATGCTTCCTCCAATAAGAAATATACTTGGAATAAAGAAAAGTTTCACAGCATATAAATATATACATGCATACCTGTATGTTCATTTTTTTCAAATCAAACAAAGGGATATACTCTAAAGATGCTTGTTCTAGTATTGTATATTTTTTAAGGATGCTTACTTCAAAATGGAATATTCTAAAGGCACTTGCTCAAATTACAGATAAACTTAAGAATGCATCTTCCAAATAAGGATTGGTTAAAGATGCCTGCTCCAACAGTCAATATTTTTAAAAACATTTGTACGAAGTGGGAATGTAAGTTCCAATCCGAGATATACTTTAACGCAATCACCCCTGAAAGTTCATAATGAACTATTCCAAAAGTTCAAATGTGTCTTTAGGGGTGAATAAGTAAAATATTCTCATTTGAAATGGGATATATTTTCAGATGTTCCTGTTCCAAGGAGGTGGAGTGGGGGCAGTTAGGCTAGAAAACACCCGCACAGCAGCCACTTACCTTAGGTTCCTCCGACGAGGAGGAGGATGCAGGTGGGTGAAAGAAGTTCAATTTGTCATTTCCGGTCTGCTGCTATCATAGAGGACACAGAACTACATCATTGCCTATAGGTGTTGTTACATGTTAACAGCCTCCCATTCCACACATACATACACATATCTACTTCTCCCATGCATGGGGTATAACATTCATTATAACATGGGGCGGAGAGCAAAGATATATTTCCTTCTTGATAGGGACATGGACACAAGAAGTACTGGTCCCACAGAAATTTGTACACAAAGGTGATTAAATGAAAGGACACAACTTTAAAGGTTACATAAAAGGGTACACTAATCTAAAATTCGTTAAACATAAAAGGGTACACTAATCTAAATACATTAAACAAAGTGACATTACTCCAAAAGTCTTACTTCTACAAGGTGACCATACCAATTGATGCTGAGCACCCATACCCTCCATAACACCAGGCTGGGCGGGTCAGTAATTACTAGACAGACTGGACAGATGTGTGGTAACTACTATAATATAACCAGGCCGGATGGGGACTAGATAGTGTAAGGATGAGTTATGATTTACGGGGGTGGGGAGGGGCAGTACACACCTGGTGTTGTGAGGGTCCAGAGGAAGCCATCTGGTTGTATCCCGCCATCCCTGATGTCATACCGCTTATTGTACTGCTAGGATTCTGCATTGAACTGTTGCTCATTCCATGCTGAAGTCTAAAATCAAAAACATTTATTTCAAAATTTAACTGAAGGTAAAAAAAAAATGTTTTAAATGAGGCACAGTGTGTAAGGGTTCAAGGTTTTCTCTTTACAGACAGTAAAAGTAAACATCTTAACAAGGACTTACTACTCATTAATTGTGATTACTGGGTACTTAATTTTTAATAAAAGATTAAATACGAAATCAGTTTCCTAGTGTGATGATGGTATGTAATAAAGCTATTAGTTGCTAATGATGGTATGTCACATAATTTCCCATCTTTGAAGCATGAAATTTATCTGCATTTCACATTTCACAGTATAAAATAATTCTAAATGAAGCCACAAGGATCATCATCATCATCACAAAGGAGATTCCCCAATGCTGTAAATGTGTATGTTTCTCATGTCAAACAAACCTGGAAGTGGTGTTGAAGTGAGACTGGCCTACTGGAGCCCCTTGCGGTGCCTGCGGACCGGCCATGTAGTTTGGCTGATTTCCCATGCCAGGCATCATGCCTGAGGTCTGTGAACCCTGATAAGACTGGTTGTAACCCTGCTGGGACATCATCCCTGCCCCTGGGGGACCTGGCTCAATCACAGTCCCGGACGACTGGGGCTGCATACCGTAGGACGTCCCGAAGTTGGAAGACATCCCCACTGGAATGATGGATGTAATGCATTTTATTACTGTTACAGTATTATATATATGAGTAACTATGAAATACACCAAACACAGAAGACGACAAGTATCTTGGGTGTACGAAGTTGGAGATCTATGACTTTAGCTATGTATGTAGACCATAGATCTTTGAACAGGACTTTTATCAAAGATGTACTACCAGATATGTTAAAGATCAATTCTATACTCTGTGGTAGATCTATAATCAGAGCTTTAATTTATTAAAGACATACTCAATCGGAAAACCCACTATTTACTCTGTAATTGATCTACACATAGAGGTTCTATCATAGGGTTATTTTGTTGGAGACCATTTCTATACTCTGTGGTTGATCTACAAATAGAGGTTGTATTATACGGGTATTTTGTTGGAGACCAATTCTATACTCTGTGGTTGATCAACAAATAGAGGTTCTATTATAGGGTATTTTGTTGGAGACCATTTCTATACTCTGTGGTTGATCTACACATAGAGGTTCTATCATAGGGTTATTTTGTTGGAGACCATTTCTATACTCTGTGGTTGATCTACAAATAGAGGTTGTATTATACGGGTATTTTGTTGGAGACCAATTCTATACTCTGTGGTTGATCAACAAATAGAGGTTCTATTATAGGGTATTTTGTTGGAGACCATTTCTATACTCTGTGGTTGATCTACACATAGAGGTTCTATCATAGGGTTATTTTGTTGGAGACCATTTCTATACTCTGTGGTTGATCTACAAATAGAGGTTGTATTATACGGGTATTTTGTTGGAGACCAATTCTATACTCTGTGGTTGATCAACAAATAGAGGTTCTATTATAGGGTATTTTGTTGGAGACCTATTCTATACTCTGTGATTGATCTACAAATAGAGGTTCTATTATACGGGTATTTTGTTGGAGACCAATTCTATACTCTGTGGTTGATCTACGAATAGAAGTTCTATTATACAGGTTTTTTGTTGGAGACATATTACTTACTCTGGGGTTGATCTACAAATAGAGGTTCTATTATAGGGTATTTTGTTGGATACCAATTCTATACTCTGTGTTTGATCTACAAATAGAGGTTATATTATACAGGTATTTTGTTGGAGACCAATTCTATACTCTGTGGTTGATCTACGAATAGAAGTTCTATTATACAGGTTTTTTGTTGGAGACATATTACTTACTCTGGGGTTGATCTACAAATAGAGGTTCTATTATAGGGGTATTTTGCTGGAGACCAATTATATACTCTGTGGTTGATCTACAAATAGAGGTTCTATTATACGGGTATTTTGTTGGAGACCAATTCTATACTCTGTGGTTGATCTACAAATAGAGGTTCTATTATACGGGTATTTTGTTGGAGACCAATTCTATACTCTGTGGTTGATCTACAAATAGAGGTTCTATTATACGGGTATTTTGTTGGAGACCAATTCTATACTCTGTGGTTGATCTACAAATAGAGGTTCTATTATACGGGTATTTTGTTGGAGACCAATTCTATACTCTGTGGTTGATCTACAAATAGAGGTTCTATTATACGGGTATTTTGTTGGAGACCAATTCTATACTCTGTGGTTGATCTACAAATAGAGGTTCTATTATACGGGTATTTTGTTGGAGACCAATTCTATACTCTGTGGTTGATCTACAAATAGAGGTTCTATTATACGGGTATTTTGTTGGAGACCAATTCTATACTCTGTGGTTGATCTACAAATAGAGGTTCTATTATACGGGTATTTTGTTGGAGACCAATTCTATACTCTGTGGTTGATCTACAAATAGAGGTTCTATTATACGGGTATTTTGTTGGAGACCAATTCTATACTCTGTGGTTGATCTACAAATAGAGGTTCTATTATACGGGTATTTTGTTGGAGACCAATTCTATACTCTGTGGTTGATCTACAAATAGAGGTTCTATTATACGGGTATTTTGTTGGAGACCAATTCTATACTCTGTGGTTGATCTACAAATAGAGGTTCTATTATACGGGTATTTTGTTGGAGACCAATTCTATACTCTGTGGTTGATCTACAAATAGAGGTTCTATTATACGGGTATTTTGTTGGAGACCAATTCTATACTCTGTGGTTGATCTACAAATAGAGGTTCTATTATACGGGTATTTTGTTGGAGACCAATTCTATACTCTGTGGTTGATCTACAAATAGAGGTTCTATTATACGGGTATTTTGTTGGAGACCAATTCTATACTCTGTGGTTGATCTACAAATAGAGGTTCTATTATACGGGTATTTTGTTGGAGACCAATTCTATACTCTGTGGTTGATCTACAAATAGAGGTTCTATTATACGGGTATTTTGTTGGAGACCAATTCTATACTCTGTGGTTGATCTACAAATAGAGGTTCTATTATACGGGTATTTTGTTGGAGACCAATTCTATACTCTGTGGTTGATCTACAAATAGAGGTTCTATTATACGGGTATTTTGTTGGAGACCAATTCTATACTCTGTGGTTGATCTACAAATAGAGGTTCTATTATACGGGTATTTTGTTGGAGACCAATTCTATACTCTGTGGTTGATCTACAAATAGAGGTTCTATTATACGGGTATTTTGTTGGAGACCAATTCTATACTCTGTGGTTGATCTACAAATAGAGGTTCTATTATACGGGTATTTTGTTGGAGACCAATTCTATACTCTGTGGTTGATCTACAAATAGAGGTTCTATTATACGGGTATTTTGTTGGAGACCAATTCTATACTCTGTGGTTGATCTACAAATAGAGGTTCTATTATACGGGTATTTTGTTGGAGACCAATTCTATACTCTGTGGTTGATCTACAAATAGAGGTTCTATTATACGGGTATTTTGTTGGAGACCAATTCTATACTCTGTGGTTGATCTACAAATAGAGGTTCTATTATACGGGTATTTTGTTGGAGACCAATTCTATACTCTGTGGTTGATCTACAAATAGAGGTTCTATTATACGGGTATTTTGTTGGAGACCAATTCTATACTCTGTGGTTGATCTACAAATAGAGGTTCTATTATACGGGTATTTTGTTGGAGACCAATTCTATACTCTGTGGTTGATCTACAAATAGAGGTTCTATTATACGGGTATTTTGTTGGAGACCAATTCTATACTCTGTGGTTGATCTACAAATAGAGGTTCTATTATACGGGTATTTTGTTGGAGACCAATTCTATACTCTGTGGTTGATCTACAAATAGAGGTTCTATTATACGGGTATTTTGTTGGAGACCAATTCTATACTCTGTGGTTGATCTACAAATAGAGGTTCTATTATACGGGTATTTTGTTGGAGACCAATTCTATACTCTGTGGTTGATCTACAAATAGAGGTTCTATTATACGGGTATTTTGTTGGAGACCAATTCTATACTCTGTGGTTGATCTACAAATAGAGGTTCTATTATACGGGTATTTTGTTGGAGACCAATTCTATACTCTGTGGTTGATCTACAAATAGAGGTTCTATTATACGGGTATTTTGTTGGAGACCAATTCTATACTCTGTGGTTGATCTACAAATAGAGGTTCTATTATACGGGTATTTTGTTGGAGACCAATTCTATACTCTGTGGTTGATCTACAAATAGAGGTTCTATTATACGGGTATTTTGTTGGAGACCAATTCTATACTCTGTGGTTGATCTACAAATAGAGGTTCTATTATAAGGGTATTTTGTTGGAGACCAATTCTATACTCTGTGGTTGATCTACAAATAGAGGTTCTATTATACAGGTTTTTTGTTGGAGACCTATTCTATACTCTGAGATTGATCTACAAATAGAGGTTCTATAATAAGGGTATTTTGTTGGAGACCAATTCTATACTCTGTGGTTGATCTACAAATAGAGGTTCTATTATACAGGTTTTTTGTTGGAGACCTATTCTATACTCTGAGATTGATCTACAAATAGAGGTTCTATAATATGGGTATTTTGTTGGAGACCAATTCTATACTCTGTGGTTGATCTACGAATAGAAGTTCTATTATACGTTTTTTTTGTTGGAGACATATTACTTACTCTGTGGTTGATCTACAAATAGAGGTTCTATTATAGGGGTATTTTGTTGGAGACCATTTACTTACTCTGCGTTTGATTCATACTCTGCATACCGCCTGGCTGCATTTGGTTAGGGAACATGCCCTGACTATCAGGCATGCCTCGGTGGTTTTGGAATGTTTGGCGCAGCTGCTGCCGAACCTGGCGTTGCAACATTTGCTTGTTCATTATATGAATATGCTGCATGTTCTGCGGGTAGTTGGATGTGCTAGAGTTGTTGCGACCTCGTATTAAAGTCTGTAACGCCTGCTTTGGTCCGTACTGGGATGGCTGAGTGAAACGAGGACCTGCATCACACAGAATTCAATTAAGTTAAAATGCTTTAATTCATTTAGAGACATTGGTTACAGGGGGTAAAATGGGGAAGGAAACTATGGAGGTTGTATAATATGATTCTTAAAATTAACATGCATTTTGCTAGTAGATATGTGTTAGCTTTCTTCAACTCTGTTTGTTACGACAGGGACACTCTTACTTGAGGAGTTACGGAGACAGAACGGTTGAGGCTATAGGTATATATATATGATATCTGGGGAACTAAATGCTAAATCAAGAAAGACTATTGTGTCTGACTATACACCTTGAGGCATCTGTTGCTGGGTGTAGATGGGGAACTATAGCCACAATGGTTCTCAGAGTTATGCGTTTATGAATGGGGAACTAGAACCACACACGTTTATCACAATCCAAACCAGTTGGACCAGAGTTCTGGTATGAAATAAGGTCAGACCTAGTAATCTGATGCTGCTTTCAAGCAAGCCTTGACAAAACCTTGCAAGACCTGCATAAACATTTGCAGGTCCCTAGGATTTATACCCAAAAATCTAACATTTAAAAACAGGCAAACTGTTTGAACCCGATACACAAAAGGGGCCATTGTCTGTGGATATGTTCACCTTGAGGCATCTGTTGTTGGGGATAGAATGAAGACTGCTGAGGCTGGGGGTGGCTGTAACTCCAGCTAGGATGGGGTGTTGAGTACATCCCAGTGCTGTCGGGATAGTTCAGTCGAGGCACAGGTGTGGGCTGTTAAGGTGCAATAACAGAACTTTAATAGTTACATTATGTGCACCATTATCATCACAAACTATTACCATAACCAATAGGCCACACATACTAGCAGTGAAAGACAATATTTGGTATAGCAACATTACAACATGACAGTCTGTCATATAGACACAGCAGATACGTACATTGACAGTATAGATTTTATTTTCAACTGTTTATGATGCAGTTAAAATTCTTACAAAAGATTGCTGTTGTGCAAACATTAAAAACTTAATTTATTCCTGTTTAATTTTTGTTTGTATCTTTTAGACATTTTATCATCAGTGTCAACCTCTGAAATCTTCATAAACTTTGCAGATTCACACATTTTATACGTATGTTTTCTGTTTCGTACCCTTATGAAAATCCAACATATTTCTGGAAGTATTTGAAAATCTAAAATATGTATATGTCACGGAGAATAGCACCTATAACACACCGATGACTTATATCATCACTGTTGATAAAAATCACCACTTACAGTGAATGTATTACTGGCAGGCCTTGGGTTTCGTCGTTTCGATGGCTTCTTCCGTTGTTTCTCTGGATGTGCTTCTGTTTGCTCCTTTACCTTTTCCTCCTCAAAAGAAAATAGCTCACTTAAGACATTTATTTCATAGTAAATATAGATCATTAAAGAATACTGATCTCACAGCTCACTTCATAATAACTATCAAACAAAAATAAATACAGATTTGTCTCCGTTATACATCATCTTACATCAATTGTCCTAATTTCATTGCTTCTAAGATCCCTTTTTTCTAATCTGCTATCTCATATTTCAAATACAGTATTCTACAAAAAAAAACAGTTTTCCTTAGCAGGGCAGTATAATTGTTAAACACACTTCACTTTAAAGATCAAGGGATCTAGAGACTGTGGGTACCTAGTGGTGTGTATTCCAGTACGTTGTACTTACAACTTTCTCTGGGGGTGGTTCAAGGTCCTCTGGGGGTAGAACTGGCGGGTCCAGGTAGTGGTTGAGGGGCTGGCGGAGGGAGTGTGTGTGAAACAACATCATCCTGTAAACAAATGGTCATTTGTCAAGCTTCTGTTAGTTATTGTAACTGCTCCTTTTACACATCCAACCTAATGGTGAATTATGGAACATGTATATCAGAATTATTATTTTTTATTTGGGACTGAGGCATTAACAGTGGACATACCTGTGTTGTTCCTCGTATTTTAGTGGCTTCCTCTCAAGTTTGACGGCACAGAAGTAGGGCCAGGAAAGGGGTGGCGGGTTCTTGTAGCCCTCTATCACCTCCCAAGGACTAATCTTCTCTTTCTTAGACACTTGCAAACCCTGTTTCCAAAGTATAACACATTAAACTTTCTTCCTCTGGCTCACATGCTTCGCTTAAGCCAAAACCTTATATAATTGGTGCTTAAAGCTCACAGGTTTTTGCTGTATGAATTAAAGTACATTTTCTCTGATGCTTATTATGGTTTTGTTCAAAATGTCCTGTCATTATTATGCTTATGCCAGAATTGATCATGCAGTCTTATAATTACATGATCACACTACATAAAGTAGCAACATTTGATGACATGACCCTCCTTTTAAGTGGTGACATTTTCAGTTTAAAAACACACGTGAGCCTTTTTCCCTACCAATAAATATTTCCATTTTCTCTTTTTAAAATGAGTATGAAAATGTGGAGTGTAGATGAATTTGAATCTCAGATTCTGAACATGTAGATTGACAAATCGTCAATAAAAAAACCTATTATGTTGACGGTTTGTCTTCCCTTTGTCAGTATTATCTCCCCTGCTAGTCATAGTTTCTTCCCTGCTTGTCAAATGATCTATCCTGCTAGTAATATACTTTTCTTTTTTTAACAATATTTTATTTACAAATATGCAGTACATAATATAAAATCATATAATATCCCCTGCTTGTCATATTATCTCTCCCAATAGTCATATTATCTCCCGTGCTAGTTATGTTATCTCCCCTGTCTGATAGTCATATTATCTTCCATGATAGTCATATTATCTCTCCTGTAAGTCATATTATCTCTCCTGATAGTCATATTATCTCTCCTGATAGTCATATTATCTCTCCTGCAAGTCATATGATCTCTCCTGATAATCATATATCTCCTGTGCTAGTCATAGTATCTCCCCTGATAGTCATATTATCTCCCCTGATAGTCATAGTATCTCCCCTTATAGTCATATGATCTCTCCTGCAAGTCATATTATCTCTCTGATAATCATATTATCTCCCCTGATAGTCATATTTTCTCCCCTGATAGTCATATTATCTCTCCTGCAAGTCATATGATCTCTCCTGATAATCATATATCTCCTGTGCTAGTCATAGTATCTCCCCTGATAGTCATATTATCTCCCCTGATAGTCATAGTATCTCCCCTTAAAGTCATATGATCTCCCCTGATAGTCATATTATCTCTCTGATAATCATATTATCTCCCCTGATAGTCATATGATCTCCCCTGATAGTCATATTATCTCTCTGATAATCATACTACCTCCCCTGCTAGTCATATTATCTCCCCTGACAATCATATTCTCCTGATAGACTATATAACTCACCTCCTTTTTCCCAAAACCATTATATTTGTTGCCCTTATTGTCCATCTGAGTTCCATGGGGCTCACATGTGATCACCTCATACCATCTCTTTGGCAGGGGCAACAACTGTCGTATCTTGTCCATGGAGTCTGAGTTCTTGTCTCCTATCTCTCTCTAAAAGAAGAAAAACGAAAATGTCAAAAAAATTCCAAATACATTATTTGCTAGTCTTTATACAAGATATTGCTCTACACTAATAGGAATGTAGTTTTATCACTCAAATATTAAGATCACAAGCAGTTACAGACAGATCAAATCGATAACTTGTAACAGCCAGATTGGTGGATCTCTGTCTCAAGCTAACATTCTGTATATTGTCGCAAAATCTTAGTCTGAGACTAAAATTAATACAATCTTTCCTCAACTTGGGGTATGACAGAAAAATCACTACCAAATTAATAGGTTCCTTTAATGTATAGCCCTTGGTGTACCTAAGGCTAGACATTTAAGAATCTTAACCCTTTGTTGGAGATATTTCTATTTTACTTCCACATTTAAGTGGGGGATGACTATTTTTCTCCCACCACATATACATTATACACAAGCGTTGCTTGCATAGCTTTCCAGCAAAGCAAACAAGTTATTTGCCATGATCTGCTATTGTTTGCATGACGTTAATAAATGGTCGATGTGACCTCAATGCATTTGCTGGCGGACAATTATACAACAAATATCTTTCCCTGACTGGAACTGTCGATATCTCAGACTCTGTCAACCTCATAACTTTAACATCTTAAACTAATGCTCTATCATAATTTACAAGTCACACATCCTGAACCTCAGTGTAATTATAGTATCTGCACTAGTGCAGCTATTAGTATTACTGTCTTATTATTTCATGACCCATGAAACTGCAAAAGTTTCATCTGTGCAAACAAATGTTCATTTATAGGGAACATTGCAGGATGTTTATAAAGCTTACCCGGAGTTTCTTGATAAGGTTCAAGTAAGTGCGTTTGTTCTCCTCCTTTTCTGGGCCCTCTGTTATGAGTGTCCCATAGATAAGCACAGTCAACATGTCAAGGATGATGGTGAAGAGCTCACTGTAAAAAGTTAACAGAGGTTCAACACTACAGGTGACACGGAATAGGTTATAGCATTACAAATCAGTATTAACAGCATGTACAGATTAGCATTCCGAAATCATGTCAATGTTATAATTTCAATTAAAAAATGCAATTGCAATATTCAAGCTTTGATGTTGACTTATTATTAGCCTTAGCGTCCATTACATTATTGATAATGCCCTAGATGTGATATTGAATTAATTAAAACCTAGTAAAACCTAGATATAATGCCCCTCGTTAGATTTGTCATCTCGTTTAACGCCAACATATTTCAATGTCCCTTTGTCTTGTTTTCTTAAGAATTCCTTTATACATTTCCCTCAATTTATGATTTACGATTATGCCAAAATTTCTCTGGACAAACTGTACCAGCTGTGATTTAGACTTACTTGTTAGACTGAGCGTCCACTATCCCGTTGGTGACCAGCTGTGATTTAGACTTACTTGTTAGACTTAGCGTCCACTATACCGTTGGTGACCAGCTGGGATTTAGACTTACTTGTTAGACTGAGCGTTCACTATCCCGTTGGTGACCAGCTGTGATTTAGACTTACTTGTTAGACGGAGCGTCCACTATACCGTTGGTGACCAGCGGTGATTTAGACTTACTTGTTAGACTGAGCGTTCACTATCCCGTTGGTGACCAGCTGTGATTTAGACTTACTTGTTAGACGGAGCGTCCACTATACCGTTGGTGACCAGCGGTGATTTAGACTTACTTGTTAGACTGAGCGTTCACTATCCCGTTGGTGACCAGCTGTGATTTAGACTTACTTGTTAGACTGAGCGTCCACTATACCGTTGGTGACCAGCTGGAGAAGTAGGATCCCCCAATCTATCGTGTTGGTCGTGTTCCTCTGTATTGTGTCAAACATTCCCCCTACCTAATGAAAACAGACAAAATCGTATGATAAACTAAAATTATATTTTATAAATACATATTAAAAGATTTCATCTGCATATGAAACCTCGAAACAATGTTCAATGTAAATAAGGTACAAGTATACATATCATATGAAACAGACTTACTGGTTAGTGTAGAGTCAGAGGTGTTCTCAGTGAAAACGTAACACTTGTACCTTACTCTAAAGTATGTTCAGGGGTATTTTTTCACAATCGAATATATTTCCAATACATGTCAGAAAATACCTATGAAAAAATCTTTCGTTTTTATTCTATACATGTTCTTCAGGTTAATTAGTTAGTATGTACATATTAAATACATGTTGTTTAGCATGAGTTCTACCAGTAAATGTTTGATGTACTCTGTTAACTTCATCAGACAAATGACCAGTAAAGCAAGGTGTTAAAAATGTACAAAGTGTCATGATTTTTCTGACAACTGCACAATATTAAAAAGTCCTCAGCTGAAAGCCAAAATAAGGGACATCTTTAAACAATACTTAATTAGTAGCAATGTGATAACTGTTCTTTGTCATGTATATCTGTGTAATGATGTTTACTGTTTGTGTCTTAAAAAAGGATTGGATTGTCTCACATTGTCAGATTGTACTGCCAAATAAGGCAGTATTTGTAATTTTTCTGGGGAATGCATAAGTTAATGACATCACAAGTGGTGTATGGTTGAAGGGAGACGCCTCACAAAATTTGTGAACCAAGTGATCACATTCCATGGATTTTTTTTCAATAGAATAAGGCAAATGGAAATGACACTCTTAATTCCTTTTAAGAGATAAAAGGTTCCACAGAGTATAATATTTGCCAAAATACTGTGTAAAACTTCCTGTTGCAATCAGCCGAAATGTAAAATAACAATGGAAGACATACCAGGGACAGGCGCAGCTGTAGGGCCTCATGGATGGTCTGTCGCACCTTAAACTCATCTGGGGTTTTGTCCTGGAAGTGGAAAAGAAATTTTCTTCAAATGTTACTATTGGTAGTAGATATTGTATTCATTAAACTGATCAGTATTTGTGTAACAGTTAGCAAAATATATTTTGATTTAATGACTCAAAAAAATACAGTTTAAGATGTTGAGAGGAAATACAATGTATAGTTTTTCTGAAGATTTGATTTAATGACTCAAGCTAAGATTTAAGAACTTTTCATTCATTTACAATCATTCTCATTATGAAATTCTCATTATGAAATGATGCCCATCTTCGTTACCCCAGGGATCAAGTTCACCATCGCTCTCTGCACCTTTGGAATATGTCACAGCAAAATTGAAGGCACATGGTTAGCTATTTATAATTGGTCTCGGGTATAAAAACCTGACCAATCGCTAGGCTAATAGCGGTCATTTGAAGATTACAGAGGAGCAACACTCGACTTAAAAGCCAGTCAGTTTTACTGTTACGCGACCAAGAGATTCTTTTGATGTACATCAAAGGATCAAACTAGTCATCTTGTCTCATCCAAAAAGTGGTGCGCAATGAGCCTTCAATTTTTCTATGCGTTATTCCAGGGGTGCAGAGAGCTAAAGTGTGTGTAACCCTAAAGCATCGAAGATGAATGAAACCATTAAACAGTCATAGAGAGTGACTTACCAGGGCCTCTTTGCAGTTGTTGATAAACTTCTCCAGTTGGTTGAGAAGGGAGCAGAGAAGCCCCTCTCTCTGTTCATCCTGCCCCTTAAGACAGGTCAGCACAAGGGACAGGAAGGGCTGGTGACCTAGGAGGGACTTACTGTAACAACCACAACCAGGATACAGCTTAATGATATAACCCCAACAATATCACAATCAGGATACAGCTTCATGATGAAGCCCAGACAGTATCACAACCAGGATACAGCTTAATGATATAACCCAGACAGTATCACAACTAGGATACAGCTTAATGATATAACCCCAACAATATCACAATCAATATACAGCTTAATGATATAACCCCAACAATATCACAACCAGGATACAGCTTAATGATATAACCCCAACAGTATCACAACTAGGATACAGCTTAATGATATAGCCCAGACAGTATCACAACCAGGATACTGCTAAATGATGTATCCCAGACAGTATCACAACCAGGATACAGCTTAATGATATAACCCAGACAGTATCACAACCAGGATACAACCTAATGATGTATCCCAGACAGTATCACAACCAGGATACAGCTTAATGATATAATCTAGACATTATCACAATAGAGGATACAGCTTAATGATATAACCCCAACAGTATCACAACCAGGATACAGCTTAATGATATAACCTAGAGAGTATCACAACCAGGATACAGCTTAATGATAAAACCCCAACAATATCACAACCAGGATACAGCTTAATGATGTATCCCAGACAGTATCACAACCAGGATACAGCTGAATGATATAATCTAGACATTATCACAACAGAGGATACAGCTTAATGATATAACCCCAACAACATCACAACCAGGATACAGCTTAAATGATATAACCCAAACAGTATCACAACCAGGATACAGCTTAATGATATAACCGAGACGGTATCACAACCAAGATACAGCTAAATTATATAACCCAGAGAGTATCACAACCAGGATACAGCTTAAGATATAACCCCGACAATATCACAACCAGGATACAGCTTAAGGTTATAACCCCAACAATATCACAACCAGGATACAGCTTAATGATTTAACCCCAACAATATCACAATCAGGATACAGCTTAATGATGATAATCTTGTCATCCTTACCCACTTACCTACACTTAAGTATATCTGTCCCGTCATCAGAGGTGAGAGATTACAGTTCTCAGTGGCAGTAATGCAAATTACAACCGTACCATTTGCTTTGGAGTGTCAAACAATTGCTTTGAAGTATTCAAGATTGGCTTTAAAATGTCCAAACTCACAAGACACTTGATCAGGAAAGGTTCATGCAAGTGTTCACAACCATAAAATTCAAAATTGAAGATACAGACATAAAAACAAGTGTTGTTAATAAACATTTTTGTGACTACAGTCTCCCCGACACATGAGTGATTTGCTTTGTTAGGCAGTATATAGGACTTAGGGGAGACTTTAATACTTTAATGTGTTAAATTATATAAACCATTAACATTAATCATATCATAATTTCATTTTAGTTTATAGATATGTTTTATTCCAACACATGCAGTATCCCTCCACCTGTCAAGAGAAGCGTGTCCTACCTCCTGAGGTTCCGTTCCTTGTCAAACTTTCCCTTGGAAAGGAAGTTGTTGCCGGTCTCTAGAACTTGGGCTGCCAGCTTGAGGACACGTCCCTGGACGCCCTGCAGCTTAGAGATGAGAGGGCCAACCATCCAAACACCATCAGACTCGGACCTATAACAATGATCGTATAATTGTTTTAAGTCAGAATACAGTGTATGAGGTGATAGGTTAGGAAAGAAGGATTCCTAAATTCATTCTCCAAACAAAATGTGAATTGTACATTGAAATATTATGTTATTATCATTTATTTTACCTGAGAAAATCAAAAACTACGAAGTTATAAATATGAAGCTTCACTGAATTACATTCATCATGATGTTACTCATTTCTTCAGGATACTTTCAATTTCATAAAACATTAGACATTTTTGTATCCCTGATCACAAGAGGACTAACTGTATCTATTACAATTATATCTCAAATTGGGGTTTATATCTGTATATTACGTAAAAATCTCATTTGCATCCCTCATTTCATTTGCCACCTCCTTTATTTCCTTTTTTCTACACAAATAGATGAACAGTCCCCTTAGATAACCCACGATAAATATAAAACTCTGCAGAACAACTACCATGGCAGCATATGTACACAACCCTGGGTATAATAAGTGAGCATATTTCCTACTGACAGTTTCCCTGTTCTGTTACTAAACTGACGTCAGGTTATTATACTGACTATTTCCTTCTACAGAATCCCTTGTTGGGTTATTAAACTGACTGTTTCCTTCTACAGAATACCTTGTTGGGTTATTATACTGGCTGTTTCCTTCTACAGAATGCCTTGTTGGGTTATTATACCGTTACCTTCTACAGAATCCCTTGTTGGGTTATTATACTGTTACCTTCTACAGAATCCCTTGTTGGGTTATTATACTGACTGTTACCTTCTACAGAATCCCTTGTTGGGTTATTATACTGGCTGTTTCCTTCTACAGAATCCCTTGTTGGGTTATTATACTGTTACCTTCTACAGAATGCCTTGTTGGGTTATTATACTGTTACCTTCTACAGAATCCCTTGTTGGGTTATTATACTGTTACCTTCTACAGAATGCCTTGTTGGGTTATTATACTGTTACCTTCTACAGAATCCCTTGTTGGGTTATTATACTGTTTCCTTCTACAGAATGCCTTGTTGGGTTATTATACTGTTACCTTCTACAGAATCCCTTGTTGGGTTATTATACTGTTTCCTTCTACAGAATGCCTTGTTGGGTTATTATACTGTTACCTTCTACAGAATCCCTTGTTGGGTTATTATACTGTTACCTTCTACAGAATGCCTTGTTGGGTTATTATACTGTTACCTTCTACAGAATCCCTTGTTGGGTTATTATACCGTTACCTTCTACAGAATGCCTTGTTGGGTTATTATACTGTTACCTTCTACAGAATCCCTTGTTGGGTTATTATACCGTTACCTTCTACAGAATGCCTTGTTGGGTTATTATACTGTTACCTTCTACAGAATCCCTTGTTGGGTTATTATACCGTTACCTTCTACAGAATGCCTTGTTGGGTTATTATACTGTTACCTTCTACAGAATCCCTTGTTGGGTTATTATACCGTTACCTTCTACAGAATGCCTTGTTGGGTTATTATACTGTTACCTTCTACAGAATCCCTTGTTGGGTTATTATACCGTTACCTTCTACAGAATGCCTTGTTGGGTTATTATACTGTTACCTTCTACAGAATCCCTTGTTGGGTTATTATACCGTTACCTTCTACAGAATGCCTTGTTGGGTTATTATACTGTTACCTTCTACAGAATCCCTTGTTGGGTTATTATACCGTTACCTTCTACAGAATGCCTTGTTGGGTTATTATACTGTTACCTTCTACAGAATGCCTTGTTGGGTTATTATACTGTTACCTTCTACAGAATCCCTTGTTGGGTTATTATACCGTTACCTTCTACAGAATGCCTTGTTGGGTTATTATACTGTTACCTTCTACAGAATCCCTTGTTGGGTTATTATACCGTTACCTTCTACAGAATGCCTTGTTGGGTTATTATACTGTTACCTTCTACAGAATCCCTTGTTGGGTTATTATACCGTTACCTTCTACAGAATGCCTTGTTGGGTTATTATACTGTTACCTTCTACAGAATCCCTTGTTGGGTTATTATACCGTTTCCTTCTACAGAATGCCTTGTTGGGTTATTATACTGTTACCTTCTACAGAATCCCTTGTTGGGTTATTATACCGTTTCCTTCTACAGAATCCCTTGTTGGGTTATTATACTGACTGTTACCTTCTACAGAATCCCTTGTTGGGTTATTATACCGTTTCCTTCTACGGAATCCCTTGTTTTATTTTACTTACCGGTTAGCCTGCTGTGACATGGAATCATTGTCAGTTATGCCTCTGTTGCTCTCTGTCTGTTGATGGAACAGGTCGATGGACCCCCGTGCCACGTTCTCCAGGATACAGTTGGTATCCTAGAAATTCCAATGGATACCATATATACACATTCTTTTGCTTTGATAAATAATTATCATAAAATGTAAAATATAGACTACATTGAAGCTGGTATATCATAAAGAGCTTGGTGAACCTGTATTTGTAGACTGGATGTAAGCCTGTTATTTTAAACTTGCTGTCCTGAAATGTTTCATAATGTTTACATCATTGATATGTAGATGCCATTTACACACTGCATTATATTGAAGAGGAATTAGGGGTAGGGATTGAGGTAGGAGCTGGTAACTGCACAATTTTAAAAGTAGTTTCTTTGATGATAAGTTTTCCTAAAGTAGTTTTGGAAGATTTCATTGAGGCTCAAAATATTACCTATAAAGTGTATATATCATATAATTGTATCACAGGACATATTTAATTTCATTTATTTGTTCTTAAATAATCTATTTATTTATTGTGTTTTGTATATGCGTCGTCCTTTAAACGACACTGGTGGAACAGCCCTATTTAAATAAAATTGGCGCCAATAATTAACTGTAGTCATTTGAGTGTTCGAGGCAGGAGCATTCTCCATGTTATTCGAAGCGAAGCGACAAAACTCCATTGAACAAGGTTAACCCATGACGCCATAAGTAAACCACGTGTTACGTCACAAGAGTTTTTGCTTTCATACTCGAATGAAATGCACTTCTGCTGGTAATGTTCATATAGAGGGGTGCAGCACAAATGTAAATATAACATTCTGGAGAGAAAAGTAGGTACACTTACTGACTGAGTGGTGGCCTGTTTCAACATCAGCTGCAGCTCTAGGAGTGAGACTCGGAGGCCCCACTGGTCGAGGGTCTGGAGGATACGCTGTATCACCTGTTTATTGTCCGGTTCACTCCCCTCTACCTGGTTAGGGATTCCGTGGGGGTAACAAATCATCTGTAACAGCTGCTGGGCCTAAAATAATACAGGGGAGTAAGTTAGGAAATAAGAACCCAAAACCTAGGAAACTGAGTCTAAAATAATACAGGGGACTTACATTAATGACAGATTGAATATGAATTGCTGTGGATATATGCTACAATTTACTTGAATAAAAATCACTTAATAAAAAGGAACACATTTTCTAGGTCTTACAAAACTGAAGTGGTAATGACATTAAAAAGTTCCTACTGACCTGTTTATTGCTGAGCATGGGGTCAAGCAGGAGATCGGAGCTGAGGACAGACTCTGGATTCTTAAGGAACTTTTCCTGGACCCAGTCCTGTGCACACATCTCCTTCAGAGCGTGCTTGGCAAACTCACTGAGTCCTGCACTTTCTATCCCTCCTTTGGATTGTGATGTCCTTCAGAAAAAGCAAAACATAAATGGTTCATTATCAAAGTAATAAGAAATTGAGAGGGGAGCTCACTAATCTATACTCACCACTGAGCGGTTGACCCTAAAAATCCAAATCCAAAAGTGAAATGCGAGCCACCATCTAGTCTTGATATACACCGTTACCTGATTTATGCCCTACTCTTAGAAATCAATCCCAGATATTCTCTCTTTATAACCAATCTGTGAGTGAAGGTCAAGCCCTCCAGCAGAAAAATCAAATTATAGAATGGAAACTTAAATCCATTTAAAGAAATAGTGACCTTGACCTTTGAAATATTAACTTCAAATGAAATCCTCAGTGACCACTTACCATGACCTACCAGCATATGAAGTCTGAACACTCTTAATCATTTAATCATGAGGGAACTGAAAAAGTTACAAGCAAACATAAAACCATTTGATTTTCTTACCCAAACATCATGTTGTCATCGTCGTCGTCCTCCAGACTGTTGAGAAGAGTACTGATGATGTCTCCTTTCTCCTCCTTCTTGTTACAGGCGCCGGCCTTTGACTTTACCTCATCTGTTGTCTGGTCACCTGGCAACAGGACACACAAAATGACCATCAATTCTTTCAAAATTTTCAACATCTTTCTTTTACTGAAAACACTTTCAGTGAACAGAAATTCAACTAAATACCATGAACTTGTTTTACAATTTACCAAATAAAGTGCACTCTGTCAAAAATTCAGATTTTTGTCTATTTCAGCCTAAGAATTTGGTTCCAATAACAAGTACATTCTACAATCTGGAACTTTCTACCAACTTGACAAAATTTGTGGTAACCCTCGGTGTCCGCTTTAGTTCAAAGTTGCACTAAATAATATTAATTCCAGTCAATAGTGCTCTGTTTTCACTCAGAGTTACTATGAGTCGAGACTGATGGTTAGTGATTAGTACAAGTCCACACTTACAGATCACAGGCTTTGGACTAAATCACTACTTGGTGTTTACTTACTGAGCATAAGCATTGCTTTCAGCACAGCCAGCACAGGTCCAACTGTTATACTATCATGGGCCGCGGCCAACAGGTGTCTGTCACACGATGCCTTGATATTGGACGGGGCCCGGTTGTACATTGGCTGGTTTTTCCAGCTCAGTGGTCCCTCGGAAGTCTTAAAAAGCTTCAGTAATATATGGCAGGTCAATCTAGCGCCTGGTTCTGCGTCCTGGTCACCTGAAGCTAAAGATAGCGACAATAAAGAAATAAGACATGATGTGTTAGCTGATGAATCATGAATGATAGAATAATGGTATTAAAATTTTGTTGATGTTAGGTGTACTAAGAGAGACACAGAAGTATTCAGAGTTGTAGAAAATTAAAGGTCTACTTTTCCTTAAGCCTACATGGTTACAACTATGTGTACATATTATTGTACTAAATTTCACAGGTGCAAGCAAACATTTGTATCCAGTACACTGTCAATGTGAAACTGTGGGAGCGACATTATTCTTGACTGTAATTTTGTGAGAGAGGAAGTACCATGTGTATCTTTGGGTGAATGAGTCCACATTTTGTTTCATGTACAGTAATTAAGTACAAACATAATCAAATTAATACAGTAATTAAATACAAACATGATTCAATTACTTGTATCAGTGTCTGTCTAACTTAATAAAACTTTGTTCAAAAGAGATACAAAAGTATAAAGATACACCACTGGTGCCTACCGGAGGGTTTGGCGGCCAGGAGTGATGGAAGCACAACATGGACGACCAAGTCTTGCAGGGAAAAGCAGTGGCGGGCAATCAGGATGGCAGTGAAAACAGCCAGGGAATCATGGATGGACATGTCTCCAACCTGCAGTAGACAATGATCACCTCTTAAAATTAGTGGTAGAATCTCTTCATGTTAAAGGCAATTTTTCTTCACCAGAAAACAATTTCAAAAACTATTTAATTGTCCCTCTTTTCACTTTTAGGGACAATTTTCTTTAATAACACAAATTCATTTTTTTTATAATAAATTTAAGTTAGGGTTGCTTTACAGCTACTTGAAAGGTGAATAAAACATTTGGACAATAATCTTTTATTTTTGTTCTTACATTGTAGTTTTATCTGCCACATGTTCTAAACAATAATATATTTGATGGCAGTCTGATACTTTACTGGGAGATATGAAAATGCTACGTACATCAACCTGTGTTAGCACGTCTATGAATCCACAGCTGTGATTTGATGAGCAGCACAAAGCCTGTAGTACTCCCAGCCATTCAGAGCTCAGACTGTTACAGCGTGCTGTCAACTCAGCACACAACACAGAGATACTATTCAGTCTGAAACACAACACAGAGATACTGTTCAGTCTGAAATAACACAACATGGAGATACTGTTCAGTCTGAAACACAATACAGATATACTATTCAGTTTGAAACAACACAACATGGAGATACTGTTCAGTTTGAAACAACACAACACAGAGATACTGTTCAGTCTGAAACAACACAACATGGAGATACTGTTCAGTCTGAAACACAATAAAGATATACTGTTCAGTTTGAAACAACACAACATGGAGATACTGTTCAGTTTGAAACAACACAACACAGAGATACTGTTCAGTCTGAAATAACACAACATGGAGATACTGTTCAGTCTGAAACACAATACAGATATACTGTTCAGTTTGAAACAACACAACATGGAGATACTGTTCAGTTTGAAACAACACAACACAGAGATACTGTTCAGTTTGAAACAACACAACATTGAGATACTGTTCAGTCTGAAACATAATACAGAGATACTGTTCAGTCTGAAACATAATACAGATATACTGTTCAGTCTGTAACACAACACAGAGATACTGTTCAGGCTGAAACACAACACAGATATACTGTTCGGTCTGAAACACAACACAGAGATTCTGTTCAGTCTGAAACACAACAGAGAGATTCTGTTCAGTCTGAAACATAATGCAGATATACTGTTCAGTCTGAATCACAACACAGAGATACTGTTCAGTTTGAAACAACTTAACATGGAGATACTGTTAAGTTTGAAACAACATAACACAGAGATACTGTTCAGTCTCAAACACAACACAGAGATACTGTTCAGGCTGAAACACAACACAGATATATTGTTCAGTCTGAAACACAACAGAGAGATTCTGTTCAGTCTGAAACATAATACAGAGATTCTGTTCAGTCTGAAACATAATACAGATATACTTCAGTTTGAAACAACACAACACAGAGATATTGTTCAGTCTGAAACACAACAGAGAGATTCTGTTCAGTCTGAAACACAACACCGATACACTGTTCAGTCTGAAACATAATACACAAATACTGTTCAGTCTGAAACATAATACACAAATACTGTTCAGTCTGAAACATAATGCAGATATACTGTTCAGTCTGAAACAAAACACAGATATACTGTTCAGTTTGAAAGAACACAACATGGAGATACTGTTCAGTCTGAAAAATAATACAGATATACTGTTCAGTCTAAAACACAACACAGAGATACTGTTCAGTTTGAAACAACGCAACACAGAGATACTGTTCAGTCTAAAACACAACACAGAGATACTGGTCAGTCTGAAACACAACACAGATGAGATACTGTTCAGTTTGAAAAAACACAACATTGAGATACTGTTTAGTCTGAAACATAATACAGAGATTCTGTTCAGTCTGAAACATAATGCAGATATACTGTTCAGTCTGAACCCCAACACAGAGATACTGTTCAGGCTGAAACACAACACAGATATACTGTTCGGTCTGAAACACAACACAGAGATTCTGTTCAGTCTGAAACACAACTCAGAGATACTGTTCAGTCTGAAAAACAACACAGATACACTGTTCAGTCTGAAACATAATACAGATATACTGTTCAGTCTGAAACAACACAACAGGGAGATACTGTTCAGTCTGAAACACAATACAGACATACTGTTCAGTTTGAAACAACATAACATGGAGATACTGTTAAGTTTGAAACAACACAACACAGAGATACTGTTCAGTTTGAAACAACACAACACAGAGATACTGTTCAGTCAGAAACACAACAGAGAGATATTGTTCAGTCTGAAACACAACACAGAGATTCAGTCTGCAACAACACAACATGGAGATACTGTTCAGTCTGAAAAACAATACAGATATACTGTTCAGTTTGAAACAACACAACATGGAGATACTGTTCAGTCTGAAACAACACCACACAGAGATACTGTTCAGTCTGAAACACAACACAGAGATACTGTTCAGTCTGAAACACAACAGAGAGATATTGTTCAGTCTGAAACACAACACAGAGATACTGTTCAGTCTGAAACAGTCTGAAACACAATACAGATATACTGTTCAGTTTGAAACAACACAACACAGAGATACTGTTCAGTTTGAAACAACACAACACAGAGATACTGGTCAGTCTGAAACAACACAACATGGAGATACTGTTCAGTCTGAAACAACACAACATGGAGATACTGTTCAGTCTGAAACACAATACAGATATACTGTTCAGTTTGAAACAACACAACACAGAGATACTGTTCAGTCTGAAACAACACAACACAGAGATACTGTTCAGTCTGAAACACAACACATATATACTGTTCAGTCTGAAACACAACACAGAGATACTGTTCAGTCCGAAACACAACACAGAGATACTGTTCAGTCTGAAACAACACAACATGGAGATACTGTTCAGTTTGTTACAGTATGTGGTCAAATCTGCATATGTTAAGACACTGTTCTTTCTGAAACAATGACACACTGTTCAATCTGATTGACAACCTAACTGAACACAATGTATAACAAACAGGTGAAATTCAAGACTCATTAATCATTCTTCTTCCTTTGACACATATAGAAACTTCATTTCAGATTTGAAACCAAACAGTTAGGGGCAAATGTGAAAACTCCTCCGAAGAAACAATTCTTGGTGTTCTATTCTTTATACAGAAACTTCACTAACACTGTATCTTTTTTTTTTACAAGTCAAAAATTGGAAATCAATTTAAACTTTACCTGTCAACCTTCTGCGAGTTACATATATTCAGCATGGCATTGCAGACAAAGCTGTAGCGGTTGGCTGGGTTGTCATACAGCTGTTTGGTCAGAGATGTGTCCGGCTGGGATCTAAAACAAGTCAAAGGAAGGTTCGAATACAGAGAATATTGAACCTTATGTAATATAAGAATCAAGTCAGCTATACTCATAGTTTGCGTCTCATGATTGCTGTAAAACAAGTAAAATTTAAATTTGATTTTGTTATAAAGAATTCACAATAAACATGCTTAATCAATCAGTACACATATTTTACTCTATAAAAGCGTTATCATCTAAACACTTTTTCCAGAAAAAAATTAAGCAAATCTTTGCATATAAAACAAACGAGGATTTTTTTTCCCGAGTCTTATGGTACTGTGCAACATGAAATGTTCGTTGTGTATAAACATTCATGGTTTTCATGGTTGGTTGCTATTGAACCATGAAAGTAAACGAAATTTGGATGATATACGTGTCTACTGTTTGTTAATATAGGATATCCACAAAAGTTTGTACCACGAAACGATCTAAAAGGCTATGAAGGAGATTTTCAGAATATGAAGTGTTTTTGTATAATTCAGTTCTAGATCTTGTATCTTGACATACACTCACTCTCCTACAAAACTATGGAAATGCTTGTACAGTAGTTATAAAACACATTTTCTCAGACATTCACACAAATTTGCTTGGGTCATCGAAACTTTTAATGGTGTTACTTAAAATAAGAAACTTATTATGATTTGAATATATGGATGTCTTTAACACTTTACATCTTTTTATAATACATATCCAACAGGATCTCTGTACTGACTTGACGGAGGCCATGAAGTCCATCATGAAGGTGGGATCCCACAGTAAATTAGAGGCCGAAGGATTGATGTCTGCATACAGAGTCATCTTTATCTTCTTAAATGAATTACTGAACATCTCAGATTTCTTGTCCTGAAAGTCAAAATAGTGAGTTGTTTGTGAAGGAAGATAAAACATTTTCAAATCACACATCAAAACCGAATGTGACACTTGTACCACAGCTGTCTATTAGAGAGATACCATCAAAGTCATGTAAGTATGAGGAATCTAGTAATTAGCTGTGCACAATTTTGTACTGTGGCCATGATTGCCTTTGGGGAGACATTTCATTATTTGAATATTGCACAATATTTCATTCTCAAAACAGAGACATCTATAGTATAAATATTTGCTATAATTGGGGTTTCTGTGAGATTTAGGGTCTCAAAAAAGTACAAAACTATATATGCTTGAAATTTGGTTTGTCTAACATGATGAAGTAGAAACACTTTAATGGTAATCCTTAATTAATTGTATTGGGGGTAATGGGAGGCACTGGTATGTGGAGTTAACACCAGATCTGCCCAACTTTCCTGATATTAAATCACTTATAAGATTTCATGGGTGGTGGGGTCTCTGACAAAGGTGCCTCCCACGCTTCCTCTGTGGTTAATTCTTGAACAGACCCAATGGACATGTTCTTTTGGGGGGTTTTGCTGATGTGATGTCCACAAAAACTTACGCAGGTTTGAATGCGTGTTGGTATGTAGTTACAATTTTTTTTCACAATTTTCTTTCATTTCTGTTTTACAAATTGATATTATTTGTTTAAGTAACAGTCTGCAATGATTTGAACTTTATGAACATGTTCATAGCAATGACCTGCCATTCTATCTACGTTAAGGACTGATACGAAGCACAGCTGATAGTAAACAGACTAATGTGTGCATTCGTACCCAACATATATGGAACCATACCCTTAAGTAGCTACACGAGGTGTAGGCGTTGTAGAGATACACAAGGATGCACCGCTCTGCTGATGTACAAACAGCGGGATTATACACATCCTTCACTGCTCCTATCAACCTACAACAGAGAGCACAGGCGTTATAGACAAATACAACAATAAATAGGTTACCTGATTTCCCCCTACAGAATCTGAGAATAGCATTGTTGTTACCTGATTTCCCCCTACAGAATCTGAGAATACCATTGTTGTTACCTGATTTTCCTCTACAGAATCTGAGAATACCATTGTTTAAGATCTAAAGCTGCGTATAGTTTTATGACACTTAATTCACTGGTTCACAACATACTTTCCCAACAGATTCTGTAAATATGCATGTGTTTTGTGGTAATCTCATTTTAGCAATTTTTTTTAATTCAAACATTGTGCTTAATTATGATAGCAATACTAGAAATTCCTGTCAACTGCTTTTCTATTGTATATAAAATATTCCTTAATGTGCGATTCTGTTAAAATTTGATAACGTGCTAAATGAGAGTGTGTTAAAATAAGTATGTTTACTGTAACTCCATGTTAACATATAATAAACAATTATGCACACTTCACCACAACCATCAATGAACAGCTACTGACCCCTCGAAGGCCTGTATGATGAGGTCCTGGGAGACGAGGAGGTAGGGGTGGTACTTCCTGAACACGCCCACGATACACAGACACAGGAAGGTCGTGTAGTTTCCAGCTAGACTCGACGTCTGGCTACTCAGTGTGTGCTCAACCATACCCAACTCCTTCAACAGCTGAAAATACAAAATCAAAATATCACTGAAAAGCTCAGCGTACTTATATATTTATCATTAAAAAAGATATAAAAAAATCTTTATTGTTCTCTATAAATGAGTAGGGTTGCAAAGATATCAAATTAGCTTAATTGAAGAATATTCATCAGACTATGGCATACAGCAACTTTCACCAAGAGATTTAAACGTCATCAAACTCTCAAGACTTCTCAGCTAACAAGGCCTGGAATCGACAAATCATTCCTTTTGACATTCAGTAAAAAAATACATACTCTGTATTCATCTTAACGTTTCAATACCAATCATGTTTATCTTGCCTTCAATATTCCAACTTTCTGTCAATCAGGATTTGTCTATTGATGCTCTTCAGATAAGTAAATCAAACTATATTACATGTGCTAAAAACATGCTTCATGTTTCATAGAGAAAGTAAAGTTAACCAGAGACTACCCACCTTTACTGAGAATTCCAGGAGACCATATATATTGAGGGAGTACTCCATCAAATCAAACAAATAGGAGATGTTGTCGACCAGGGGCAGATAACTGGAGTTACCCATGGTGAAGCTGTTGATCTGTTCCAGTACTGCGTCTGTACACTGCGCTGTAACCGCATGCTGGTCAAAGTATGACAATTTTTGATATTTTCCAAAAATTCCTTCAAATATTTGGTCAAAATTCGTAACTACAGCAACAAGAGATGTGTCACCTGGTTCCTTTTCCTTTCTCTTTTTGACCTTTCCAAGGTCACCACTACCTGTGTCCACACAATTTTTCTTACTGAACAATTTCAGAGTTTCTTTGGAGATTTTTTTGACGTAGTGTCTAGCATCGTCCCTGGCTTTCCCTACACCATACATGACGATGCCACGCTGATTACATTCATGGACCGCGTCCTTTGGAATCGGAAAATGCTGTGCGTAGATCATGTGACGTGAAGGTCCCTTAGGCTGTTGTAGGGCCTCCATGCCGGCATGTGTGTGACCCCCGACACTTGGGATAGGCTGGTCTTTCTCAGATTTGACCGACTTGACCGAGGCAGGTTCCTCTGGACTAGCTTTTTGTTCCTCTTTGACATAGTCAAACAGCATGACATAGTCACTGTCCATTGTATTGATATCCATGTCAACCTTGATGTCGTCTTGGTGCTAAAACAAGAAACTCAATCATCAATACACAATCACAATGTATTTTAAACAGGTAAATGCCACAGTGGTTTTAGAAATGCTTGAGTGATTCATACAACAAATACAGTTAAAAGAGAGACCTAAAATAACCTGATGCTTGGTCTTCTTTCTATAGTTGATCCCTCAAACATCTTTTATTATTGTATTTGAGATGATGAACAAGATTAAAAAACCAAACCTATCATTACTTTGTATTTGACTGACTTGGTAAGAAACCAGACCTACCACTACCTCATATTTGATTGACTCAGTCAGAAAGAAGACCTACCATTACCTCCTGTTTGATTGACTCAGTCAGAAAGCAGACCTACCGTTACCTCCTGTTTGACTCAGTCAGAAAGCAGACCTACCATTACCTCCTGTTTGATTGACTCAGTCAGAAAGCAGACCTACCATTACCTCCTGTTTGACTCAGTCAGAATGCAGACCTACCATTACCTCCTGTTTGACTGGGTCAGAAAGCAGACCTACCATTACCTCCTGTTTGACTCGGTATTGACTCAGTCAGAAAGCAGACCTACCATTACCTCCTGTTTGATTGACTCCGTCAGAAAGCAGACCTACCATTACCTCCTGTTTGATTGACTCGGTCAGGGACTTGATGCTGGAGAGGTCCATGCTGTCCACACCAAGCTGGGGCACAGTTGTGGGTGAGGAGAGGTCCCCTCGAGATATCAGTGTACACATGTAGGCATCGTGAGAGAACACATCGTGACGAATCAGCTCACAGAACAGCTGTATCAGGTTAGCGAAGCCTTGTCTACAGTCATCTGAGGGGTTGTCATCTAAAATAAAATCATCAATGAATGTTGATATACATCAAGGAATTTGGGTAAGAAAAGATAATTAGCAGCAGATGAGACATGTTTAGTATAGATGTATAGGACCATAGCCATCAAGCCCCAATCACAGATACCACCATAGAATTGGCCGCCAAAGAATATATTTTTTTTATGAAATTGGACAAATGAAAGTTAGACTCAATTAATGATCCTGTGTTTGGGTGCGTTACACAACCAAAGGAAATTTTGCATCGAGACAGCTGAAGGATGAAGTTTTGTGAAAGCTTTAAGTTGTCAGCAGCAATCCCCTAACACTTAAAGCTTCGGAAACAATGCATTAAAATACTGTTTTTAAAATATGAAATACAAAAGAACCTAAGTAATTGTAAATGCCATTTTTATTCAATATAGTTACTGTATTTTACTTTATTTTTCATGAATACCTATCTCGACAATTTGTCATATTTGTTTGGATTTTGCTTCAATAAACACCTAAACAAAAGCATGTTTTACGGTTTTCTTAATATGTTCAGATAAATTTTCATAATATCTTTCACAATGGACACTATTTGCAAATGTATGTGAAAGAAATGTCTCATGAATGATTTACACTACCTAGGACCGGTGCCCTTTCATCCAGGAAGCTCATGAGGAGGCCTTGGAAAGCCGGGAGTCCCGACGGGACCATAGCATCAGATCCTAGGGAATCCTTGTCGTCTATGATATCAGAGTCACCAAACTTCTGAAACAAGAAAGAGAAACATGTTTGTTTAAACAGGAAACAGGCTGGTGCCAGTAATTTTATCAATAAATATTGTTAAAAAAGTTTTTAATTTAAGTTTTTACATGGATGAAATTCTTTTGAACTGCAAAATAAGTCAGGGGTTTCATCTGTATTTAAGATTTCTTTCTTCATTATTCATAAAATACACAAGAAGAAAAGAGAATAATTTTCAACTAAATTGTATTTTACAATATGATTATTTACCATTGTTTGCAAATTCTATTTAACAAAATGTTTGAGTAATTCCTTCTGCTAAAGTGTTGAACAGAAAAGTGTTTTAGTTGATTTTTGCATCAATAAGTCCACTCTTGTTGAAAATTTGTCCAAAACAAACCGAAAGACTGTTAGTCTTCAACCAGCTCACCTCTGTCCTAAGTTCGTTCTGCCGTTTCTCCATGAGTTTGGCCACCACCACTGCCCGGTAGTTTCCTGTCCGCTGTGTACTGACGGCCCAGTCTATCAACAGGTGGATGATGGGTTCATCTGCCACCATTGGCTGGAAACAGAAATATATACAGTTCAACATAGTTATACTTAAAGAGGAAAATGTACATTATACACCCTGTAATCACTATTTTCGTTTGATTTGTACTAAGTATTGGTAAGTAGGGCATACATAAATGTCGCCTTTTCAACAAATGAAAAATGAAAACAGAATTTTCTCCAAGATTTCTACACATTTACAGTGGTTAAAAGAATGTATAATTTCATAAATAAAACAAATGAAAACAGAATTTTCTCCAAGATTTCAACACATTTACAGTGTTTAAAAGAATGTATAATTTCATAAATAGAGTAATAGCCAGTAGGCAGATTTTGGAAAATTCCACGAGTACAGCATATATTTTTGTAATATGAAACATTTCACTTGCCCTGAAAATCTACTAGACATGGGTTTTTGTAATTGTAAACCCATTTTAATAAAACATGAAAATTTCATTTATTTTTTAAACATTAAATGGAAGTTTTTTTCCCTTCAAATTTAACCATACCTAATCAGATTATTTTTCATTGAAATCTGAAAGTAAAATGTGGTAAACATATAAATTTTAACTTAAATTTAGACACAAAATAATATGTAAATGTACAATAGTTTAGCGAGTACTACCTGCAGTACATGTATTAAGACTGTCCATACATACCTCTATGCCCTCCTTTGCCTGGTTGATGGAGAAGCAGTACATGTATTAAGACTGTCCATACATACCTCTATGCCCTCCTTGGCCTGGTTGATGGAGAAGACCTTGTTATACAGAGTGTCCAGTGAGTTGTTACTGTCCACCTTGTCAAAGTTGTGTCGGTCAAGCATGTCCAGTACCTCCAGCCTCTTACTGATGGTGAAACCTAGTCACAAATAAATTATCCACACTTTATATTTTTGCTTCTCTTCACCGATACATTAGAAAATGTTTGTATTTTTGTCACTTATGACACATTTTCATATTATCCTGATAATGAATCTAAAACAATGAACAGTTTAAATAATGTAAATGATAAACTTTTTTCTTTTCTAGTGTGATTACAAACACATTATTTAAAAGAAAAGTAACAGATATTTTTCTCAATGTTTTAACTTGTAGTTCTTTAGTTCGACTGTTGTTACCCCTAATAAACTGCTGACAACTTGTAGATCTTTAGCTCAACTATTGTTACCCTAATAAACTGCTGACAACTTGTAGATCTTTAGCTCGACTGTTGTTACCCCTAATAAACTGCTGACAACTTGTAGATCTTTAGCTCGACAGTTGTTACCCTAATAAACTGCTGACAACTTGTAAATCTTTAGCTTACCTGTTGTTACCCCTAATAAACTGCTGACAACTTGTAGATCTTTAGGGGGACAGTTGTTACCCTAATAAACAGCTGAAAACTTGTAGTTCTTTAGTTCGACTGTTGTTACCCCTAATAAACTGCTGACAACTTGTAGATCTTTACCTCGACCTAATAAACTGCTGACAACTTGTAAAGCTTTAGCTTGACTGTTGTTACCCCTAATGAACTGCTGACAACTTGTAGATCTTTAGGGGGACAGTTGTTACCCTAATAAACAGCTGAAAACTTGTAGTTCTTTAGTTCGACTGTTGTTACCCCTAATAAACTGCTGAAAACTTGTAGATCTTTAGCTCGACTGTTTTAACCCCTAATAAACTGCTGACAATTTGTAAATCTTTAGCTTACCTGTTGTTACCCCTAATAAACTGCTGAAAACTTGTAGATCTTTAGCTCGACTGTTGTAACCCCTAATAAACTGCTGACAACTTGTAAAGCTTTAGCTTGACTGTTGTTACCCCTAATAAATTGCTGACAACTTGTAGATCTTTAGCTCTACTGTTGTAACCCCTAATAAACTGCTGACAATTTGTAAATCTTTAGCTTACCTGTTGTTACCCCTAATAAACTGCTGACCACTTGTAGATCTTTAGCTTGACTATTGTTACCCTAATAAACTGCTGACAACTTGTGAATCTTTAGCTTACCTGTTGTTACCCCTAATAAACTGCTGACAACTGGTAGATCTTTAGCCGGATAGTTTTTACCCTAATAAACAGCTGAAAACTTGTAGTTCTTTAGTTCGACTGTTGTTACCCCTAATAAACTGCTGAAAACTTGTAGATCTTTAGCTCGACTGTTGTTAACCCTAGTTGACTGCTGACAACTTGTAGATCTTTAGCCCGACTGTTTTTACCCCTAATAAACTGCTGACAACTTGGAGATCTTTAGCTCGACAGTTGTTACCCAAATAAACTGCTGACAACTTGTAAATCTTTAGCTTACCTGTTGTTACCCCTAATAAACTGCTGAAAACTTGTAGATCTTTAGCTCGACTGTTGTTAACCCTAGTTGACTGCTGACAACTTGTAGATCTTTAGCCCGACACTTGTTACCCTAATAAACAGCTGAAAACTTGTAGTTCTTTAGTTCGACTGTTGTTACCCCTAAAAAACTTCTGACAACTTGTAGATCTTTAGCTCGACAGTTGTTACCCAAATAAACTGCTGACAACTTGTAAATCTTTAGCTTACCTGTTGTTACCCCTAATAAACTGCTGAAAACTTGTAGATCTTTAGCTCGACTGTTGTAACCCCTAATAAACTGCTGACAACTTGTAAATCTTTAGCTTACCTGTTTTTACCCCTAATAAACTGCTGACAACTTGGAGATCTTTAGCTCGACAGTTGTTACCCCTAATAAACTGCTGACAACTTGGAGATCTTTAGCTCGACAGTTGTTACCCAAATAAACTGCTGACAACTTGTAAATCTTTAGCTTGACTGTTGTTACCCCTAATAGACTGCTGACAACTTGTAGATCTTTAGCTTGACTGTTGTAACCCCTAATAAACTGCTGACAATTTGTAAATCTTTAGCTTACCTGTTGTTACCCCTAATAAACTGCTGAAAACTTGTAGATCTTTAGCCCGACTGTTTTTACCCCTAATAAACTGCTGACAACTTGTAGATCTTTAGCCCGACAGTTGTTACCCTAATAAACAGCTGAAAACTTGTAGTTCTTTAGTTCGACTGTTGTTACCCCTAAAAAACTTCTGACAACTTGTAGATCTTTAGCTCGACCGTTGTTACCCCCCTAATAAACTGCTGATAACTTGTAGATCTTTAGCTCGACTGTTGTTACCCCTAATAAACTGCTGACAACTTGTAGATCTTTAGCTCGACAGTTGTTACCCTAATAAACTGCTGACAACTTGTAGATCTTTACCTCGACTGTTGTTACCCCCTAATAAACTGCTGACAACTTGTAGATCTTTAGCTGGAGTGACTTACCCCTAGTTGACTGCTGACAACTTGTAGATCTTTAGCTGGAGTGACTTACCCCTAGTTGACTGCTGACATTTGTCTGAGGACCAGCGCACCTCAGCAGCACGTCCACGCATCTTTAACTGGTTCTCTACAGCACGAATCTGAGCTCGTATCTGAGAGAAAACATTTAATGAATCAGGCATGAACAGGTAACGCTCCTGAGTGTACTCTGTATGACAGCACTGTATAGTAACTTCTCCATGGCAAAATACTGTTGAAGCAATTATTTTTGACAATTTTTTTCTTAATCTACAATTTTGTATGTACCATAACAAGAATTATTGCCTGTGATTGTAATAATGTTTTGACTGAAATCGAAATTAGGTCTTGCATGTAAAAGTCAACAGACAGACCACCTGGGCAGACATAGATTTTCATTACCTGAATAAATCTGTTGTTTTTACTTCACAATAATTTTAAATCTATACCACTTGTTCACAATGACTGTACCTACCTGGGGATTTTCCGGTCCTGGGGGCATAGGCAGACTTGAGGGAGCGCAGGGGAGGTGGTCGAGAGCAGAACCACACAGGACAGACGATGTGGTTTTGTTGTCGCCCAGAGTGTTCCAGATGAGAGAGGTGGGACACAACAGCGTGATAACTTGGAGAGTGGCGCTCAGACTCAGGATGATACCTCTGTGTTGGGGACAGTTGTTGTACTGAGAGAAAACAGCCGCTAGTGGGTTCTGGGGCATGGCCATGTTACCACTGGCTGGAGTTATACTGAAAAGGCAATTTCAGTTCACCAGTTGAGCTTTTATACCGTAATTTACTAAACCATAATGTAGTAAAACATACCGAACTATAAATATAATGCAAGACCTATCAGTTCCAAGATCCATGATTGCAAGTGTTTCAAGATTTCTAGGAAAAACATAATACATCTGTCCAACAATTATTTTTTAACTGTAAACTTCAGAGTTCTTTACTTCTATTTTGATTTACACAGTAGAAACCTACAAAATTATGCTTGCTATTATTTTGAATCAATTCCAGAGTTTGTTGTACTTACGCAGTGCCAACACTGTTGACCATAGGTGACTGTGTCTGAGGTGAGGCCCCTCCTGAGTCTCCACACAGCTGGGCAATCTTTTTCGCAGCAAAGTAGGCCAGACGACGCGATAACAACACCGACATTGTTACCTCATCCAGATACTGAAAAATACATGAAGTATATAAACAGTACTGACAAACACATGAAGTTTATTATTATCTCTAAGGGTGCTGACAAAATATAACTACAGGTGAAAGTAAAGTGTTTTTTTCCTTTCTTTAAGGGAACAGATATCTGTTTTTCTGTTTGAAATTGACCAAGCAATCAAAACAGTTTTAACATGGCTCTATATCTCTTTGTAAGTATTAAATGACTTTGTTCATTAATCTAAATTAGAATGACAGAACCTACCGGTATATACATTTTCTTTTCAATTTTAAAATTTTAAAATTACTCTACATTAATATTTTTACTTTGTCTGTCACAAGGTAGATGAAACATGATATCTTTGTTCATTCTTAATTTTTTTCTGAGTGATTAAACAGAAAGCATACTACATGTATAACCCTCACTGTAATTAACTTACCTGTAACACCTGAGCCATTACAAGTTTAAGCACTGTATCCTCCGTTTGTTTCAATTTTTCCAACAAGTCTATCAGCCAGGTGAGGAACTCATTCCGGTCAAGCAGCCCTTCCTGTTCACATGAAACGGACAACACTGTATAACTGGAGTGATAGATTACACAAAAAGAAAGTCACACACTTTTCAATTATTGAAGAGTCTTTTCCTTGCATTTAGTTCCACACTCTTTGAAATATTAAAACTACCAGTACTATTTATCAATTATTTACCCATCACAGATATGGAAGAAATCACATTTCCTGACTGTAACATAATTCATATTGTTAAGTCTATAAATACTGCAATGGGTCACGTACATCATACATATGCCTTGCTAGTTTACAGGAGTAGTGCCACTGTTTGATGGCGAGATCGAGGTCGACCTGGACATTTGTGTTGGTGGACACAGTGAGGAACCCCGTAGGTCCCCCGGTTGTGCCGTGGTATGGGTCCTGGATTTTCTGAATCTGGTCACGCATAAACTTGGTCAGTGACTGGCACCAATCTGTCCAATATATATAAATACATGAAGCTTCCTTCGGTATATTTCCAAAAATTATTTGAGATAATAACACCATTTTTTCATTTTTTAAGTTGCACCATAATATATATCAATGAAAATTAGTTATATAGAAATAACTAAAATTCATCAGATTTAAAAATTCTCTGTAGCAAAATATTTGAACAGATATTGAAAAAAAAAAATGAATTGCTGATGATTTTGTATATACACGTAGTATGATTTGAAAATTTGCAGTCAAATGTCTAACAAGTCATAAATTATTACCTAGAAATTATATTATGATCAAATAGCATTTTAAAACATCTCTGTGTAAAGTGAAAATGATCTGTCAATAGTCTAACTTAAATGAAACATTCAATATTTTATTATCTATAGTACAAGTGAAATGATTTGGTAAGGGTTTCCTTGTATAAAACAGCTTAGGTCATGAGATCAGACATGCCAAAGCAGACTTTTTTCTGTCCTCTGAACAAAATTATGCCCCTCTTCAAATCATCAAGACTTTCAACATCTCCACTTACCAACAGATTGGTCCACCATTTGCCGTTTCTTAATCTTACTCTCTTGCATAGCTGTATTGTAGGCTGCAGTCATTTTGACCATCCAGGCAGCCTTCATCATGGGCAGGGAAAACTCACAGAGAGTGGAGAATAGCTCATCTCTTTTGTTAAAGGTAGGCACCTGGAAAAGAAGAAGGAACATGACCATCTGTCAAAGTGGGCATCTCCTAGGTCATTTATAAGCTTACTGTCTTGGTATAACAATAATACTATGACTTACTCCTGTAAAAGTTTAAGAAGACAGAGTTATACAATGATGCACCAACATTCGTAGCTAGATTATCACTGTAACAATGCAATTTATCATGTTAACTCTTCCCGTACCGCAACCCCGGTCCAGATTCCGTACCGCAACCCCAGTCCAGATTCCGTACCGGAGGTACTTATTAGACTTGCCCCCGCACATATAACAAAATGGCGAATTATTAATGTACTTTTTAGACTAGGTGTAACTGCTGCAAGAATGAAACATGTAACTGGAACAAATATTGTTATTGTTTCATGTTTTTGTTCAAAGTAAACACTTCTTCATTTTCGCAACATAATGACCAACTGGCATCTGATTAAGACTGAGAAATCGACATTTGTCTGGCAACAAACGATACGATTCCTTGTACTTAACACAGCGTTGTAGTGCAGGTTCCAAATGGGGATTGATTATGGCTACGAATGTGGAGTCGTTGATTTTTTTTCTAAATACAAGAAGATTTCATCAAGACTTGTATTAGAATATTCATATTTACTTCCATAAGTCTCAACAAATATTTGTTGAGTTTACGAGTGTTCGTATCAAATTAAGTTGCCGCCATATTGTTTATATTTGAGGCACCAAACGCAAACATCTAACGGCAAATGCAAAAACAATAGGTCACATAATAAAAAAAAAGTGTACTCTGCACATATAAAAATATAATTCTTCCCAACTGATGGGTGCTGATTTGAGCGACAATTAATTGTATTTCGCGACAGTCTCGTGCGATAACCAGCTGAACATAAGACAGGTTACACCAAAGTCTCTTGTCGTGTGTACACGACAACGGGGATGAGACGGCCTATCATTTTGTCGTCTTAACAACGGGGACCAGGATGACATATTAATGTTGTGTGTACACGACAACGGTACGGAAAGAGTTAAAGGACCATAAACAATAGGAACTATTACCGCCCCTTATTCATTTTACAACAATTCAGTATTTTTATCAGTAGGATACATTAAACAAATATATTAGGTCTATAGAGCAAACCTTCTTTCCAAGTTGGAATAACGACTTGTTGCCTTCTAAGTCCTTGAACCATGCCTCCATAGCATTCTTGTTTTTGGCAGCCTGAAAATTGAAAAAATATAATCATCATTAAATTGTTAACATAGACATTGAAAAGAGAGACAAAAAATAGCTTGTCAGCATGTTGTGTTTTCTGTTATTATTAAAACAAATTAAAACGTAAAGTTTGAATATACTCTAGAATTTCTGTTCGGTAAAATTGTTTAATACCAGTAACATGATTTATCAATTCAGGTCATCACTCAAAACATGAAGCATAAAGGATAGCTACAAATCAGAATAATCATAATGTCTCCTTAGATGGTAGAAGTGTCTAAATTCATACTGACAAAGATTGATGGAAATGTTGTTACAAACATTAGTCTGTAGTAGTCCCTGTTGGAGGTTTTTATGTTGCTTCAACATATTCTCAATATTGAGTAACTTTTTTTTTCTATTTCATTCTCTTTTAATAATAAATTGAACATCAGTAGGTATGTTATACCTGGAGACATATGTGTGCTCTGAGAACAAAAGTCTGAGATTATTTTAAGAAAACTTACCGGCCAAAAATTGTCTTTGGTAGGACACTGTTTCTTTTTGGATGTGTCTTGAAATGTGTTAACTTCTTTCTTTTTCTCCAATACTGAGATAAATTCAGTACCAAACTGTGCAAAGAGAAATGATACAAATTAAGCATTTATGAAAGAAAAACATTCACTTTTGTAGTAAGCAGCTATATAAAAGGTATACTTCTGTGATATCTCAAACAATGAAGACAAAATTAATTTGAATATTTGTCAAATTTTCATAATAAACTGCTTCTTTTGTACTGAATGAAAAAGATCTGAGTACAGCGAGTAGTAAGACTTCCATAAAGAGATGACAGTAATCTATAAATAGAAATATGAATCAGGTGTTAAAGGAAATGTGTGGTGGAGTGTTACTGGGTGTATCAGTGTTACATGGTGGAGTGTTACTGGGTGTATCAGTGTTACATGGTGGAGTGTTACTGGGTGTATCAGTGTTACATGGTGGAGTGTTACTGGGTGTATCAGTGTTACATGGTGGAGTGTTACTGGGTGTATCAGTGTTACATGGTGGAGTGTTACTGGGTGTATCAGTGTTACATGGTGGAGTGTTACTGGGTGTATCAGTGTTACATGGTGGAGTGTTACTGGGTGTATCAGTGTTACATGGTGGAGTGTTACTGGGTGTATCAGTGTTACATGGTGGAGTGTTACTGGGTGTATCAGTGTTACATGGTGGAGTGTTACTGGGTGTATCAGTGTTACATGGTGGAGTGTTACTGGGTGTATCAGTGTTACATGGTGGAGTGTTACTGGGTGTATCAGTGTTACATGGTGGAGTGTTACTGGGTGTATCAGTGTTACATGGTGGAGTGTTACTGGGTGTATCAGTGTTACATGGTGGAGTGTTACTGGGTGTATCAGTGTTACATGGTGGAGTGTTACTGGGTGTATCAGTGTTACATGGTGGAGTGTTACTGGGTGTATCAGTGTTACATGGTGGAGTGTTACTGGGTGTATCAGTGTTACATGGTGGAGTGTTACTGGGTGTATCAGTGTTACATGGTGGAGTGTTACTGGGTGTATCAGTGTTACATGGTGGAGTGTTACTGGGTGTATCAGTGTTACATGGTGGAGTGTTACTGGGTGTATCAGTGTTACATGGTGGAGTGTTACTGGGTGTATCAGTGTTACATGTACAAATTAACCTTGAACACATTATTTTGAAAAAGTACTGACATAGACAAATGATTTCTCTAACTGCATTCAGCTTTGTTCCAGGGAATGGAAAACAGAAGTCTTATAATTATATAATGATAAGGATGTAAACGATCTACCAGTTGATTTATATATAGCCTGTTTGCTGTTGATCGTATACAAAGTTAGACAATTTTGAGAAATTGAGAACTTACCTGTTCTTGACTAATATTTTCTCTTCGAGCTGATCCATACTGTACATAAAAGAGATAACCATTTTCATTAATACATGTATTCTAATACATATATGTATTTGATTATTTTCATTAATTTCTTGCTGTTCAAAGAGGGGATCCAGTACTAGTCTACAGGAAGCCTTTCAAAAATGCTACACAGCAACCAATCTTTTCAAGTCTTCACATTAGAAATTATTGGAAATTGTCACTAACTCTGGTTTTTAAAGTCATTAGCATTGGGTGTCATTGTACTCTTGAAAATTAATGATATGGAAATTATCCACACTGCTAAAGTAATAAGTAAAGTGAAATGGTACAAAATCGTTCATGTACCAATAAAAATGTGCACAATTTGTGAAGAAATGACATCATCTAATAATATCAATCCTCATAGCTGAACAGAAACTCTAACTGATGACTTATGTTTTTATATGCATTATAAACTGTATTATTACTAAATATCTATCGCAATGTTTCTACAACATAATGAAATACATTTGTATATATGTACCAGCAGTCAGTTTTATCAATCTAAGCATACAGTGAGAAATTTTGTTTTCAAATATGGATGTGACATAAGGGTGAGGACAATTTTAATCCCTTATGAAGGGTAAAGCCTGAAAGCTTGTATGGAGAGTGACAGCTTATATATATTTAACACAGTATTAGCACTATTCAGTGATTGATTTTGATCATTCTATCTATACACAGGATATAACTTACCTCGTCACCAAAGGTTTGGCTGTTAATGAAACCATGCTTGACACTAGCTGATGTAAGTTCATCCTATAATAAGGAAAGATTACATGAAATTATAAAATACTGAAAGGTTCAATAAAAATCTTGAGCATAATACTGGGATAATATCATAATAAGGAAATCAACATTAATCTCGTTTCTGGTAAAACTTATAAAAAGAGGAAAAAACTTCCTCTTAAAAAAATACTACATATAGCAAAGCATAATCTTGTTATTATGCTAATGCTTTTAAGCGAAGTTTCAATAAAAACATCTGCAAAGTACCATCAGGTCAGAGGGGATCACTTAAAAAGCTAACAAGAAATAAATATTGCTAAAAAATGCTTGGAGATAATTGTTGTGTTTTCCAAATCTTGGTAAGGTTCCATATCTGCATCAGGAAGGCATGTTTAATTTCAGCTACAAGTGTCAAAATAATTCTGAAGATACACTGAAGTTCACTGTGTATTGCGAATAATTACTGAACAGTGATCTAAAATATCTCTTAGATAACAAAACCTAGATTATATTACTGTGTCAACACAAGTGTTCACTGCTCATTAGGTTAGCTGGTGAGTCTCATCAGCCAATTACTCATAAGTTAAGTTAAAGTTACTTTCTAATACAGGAGCAGATAGAGCTCCTCTACACTGGACTGAAAAATTAATATAAAGTTAAAGATCATTGTTATCTAAATTTACCCTATAAATTTGGCCCTATTGTTAGTGGTTCTGTCAAGACAGGTTTTGTCCTGTAGCGTTAAAAATTAAGTTTGGGGCATCAATTGGGTTAATGGAAACTAAGTATGATAGTCAGTTCCATGTTTGGAGATTTGCCGTCAATTTGGGAGAAACGGGAGATTGCTGTTTTAATGCTCAATACCGGGAGACATCACTTGTATGTAGTTACTTAATTTTCATCCATTTGGTTAATTCCATCATTGTGTAACCTGTGAAAGAGACATGCAACAACCAAACTGGGATTTGAACCCAGGACCCTCCGAACTCTAGACGGATGCTCTACCAATTGAGCTATGGATCTAGTTGCAAACGATCGACCCCGTCCAGTTCCACTACATTTCTTTCTCATTTTTCAAAGTCTTTGCCACTGAAGACACAACTATTAACAACCCTGATTCAGCTTTCCCCGTATCAAGCATTCACAAAGCGCTTGAAACAAGGGTTGGCAAGCTTGGCAATTTTGTAACAGGCAAAAGAGAAATGCACGGTCAGACCAGGATTCGAACCCGGGTCCTCAAAACTCTAGACGGACGCTCTGCCAATTGAGCTGCCTAGTCGTCGACGATCGACCAAGTAGGATATATGTAGACCAGATGTAAGCCTATTTAATAGGATGAAGATTAGTGATAAAGATAGTGCCATCGCTGGGGCTTGATCCTGCGACCCTTGGCTCTCCAGCCCGATGCTCAGAATCAGACAGCTCTACTGCTGAGCTAAAGGGAAATTCCCTAAAGCTGACACTTGTAAGGCAACCTAATCAATGCTCATCTTTTACACTATTCTCCCCTTTTTCAATCACCAACCCAGGTTCTTTGACTCCCCGCCAAGGGTTCTCCTACCTTGAACGGTGAGGGTCAGCGGCACCAGTTTATAATAAGACGATGCATGAAAAGTGATGAAGATAGTGCCGTCGCTGGGGCTCGATCCCGCGACCCTTGGCTCTTCAGTCTGATGCTCTACTGCTGAGCTTAAGGGAAATTCCCCAGCTGATACTTGTAAGGCAACCTAATCAATGCTCATCTTTTACACTTATCTCGTTTTTTCGATACCCTCTCGAAAAGTCGAGGGAGTTCTGATGAGGTATTCCATTTTGTGCACCCGGGGAATCATTTCCAAGCAAACATGAGTGACTCAACTAACGACTGCAGGTTATACCCAAGAAATACATAAAATGAAAACGGAAGGTATCTATTCGTGATACAGAAACAGAAGTCGATGTGTATGTGCATAATCAGTCTTTGTTCAGGCCGTGCTTTCAAAACAAAAGACGGCCATAAGTTGCAAATTGACACAAAAGTTTGGCTGTTATTGTTTTGCATAGGTCAACACTCTACCTCTTTTTGCTTTGGATCTTGAGGATACACATCTGGCGGCCCCAATTTCGGCTTTTTAAGAGGCCGAAACTCTTGAGACGGGTAGGCAGACATCTTGTCCGCTAATGAGTCTGGGTCATTTCTTGTTTCTGTCTATGTTCAGCAAAGTTGTATGCAAAGTAAACGCAGAACTAACCCAGAAGCCAAGTTAATGCATTCTGGGATTTAACTTCCTACCGATTTGGTATGGGGCCCACCATGGGGAATTCGTACAATACAATTTAAATTTTGAAGTATCTCAAATTAATTTTTTAGTTACTTGTAAAAAACATACGTGCGTGTATCATGGTGGTAAATGTATAACGTGATGGAGAAAATTTTAAAATGGACAAATTATAACAATAATTAACTCAAGGCCGCTTCTGTCTGAGTTTATTATTTTTTTAAACATACAACTATTCATGGGAAATATAATTGAATGTGCATACGTTACTATATCATTGCATGTCAGACTATGTTGCCTTGATCTCGCATTTTATTGTAAATTAATCAATTAGAATGAGTTTCTACTGATTTTCGTTACTCATTCCTTGCCACTAACAATCCAGGCGAGTTTTCAAGAAATGTGTGCTGTATGTTACATTTAAGACTGTCTTAGATGTTGGCAAATCCTTATAATTGATAAAAAAAAAACAAAAAAAAAAACACACAATTCTTTGTGGTAGATTGCCATGTAAGTATTTTTTTTCATAACGCCCGTTTTAGTAAATGTATGCGCGTAAGTTATTTATATCAGAGACGTATATAGTGTGATTACATGTAATATATATATACGTCTCTGTTTATATCTTGTACTTCTTGCACTTTGAGTTTTGAATAATGTGTATTTTGATGTAATATTTTAGATACAATTTTGTGTTTAATTTCATATGCTAATTAATATTCAAGTCCTGGGCTCATATTTACGAAACCGTTATCATTCTCAAGCATATAGATTCTGTGCTCAAACCAGTGTTCTTGTTACTCGCTTAAATCATGCAGAATGATCATTAAGTCAAATGTAAACATTAAAAACAGTATTCGGCTATAAGTCTCTTCAAATGTTTTCCGGAATCATTGACAAAATAGGAATGTTTTAATTATTTATTACCAGAACAAGAAATTAGGCTTGAGCACAAAATCCATGCTTGAACATGAGAACGACTTTATGAATACTGACCCTGTACTTTAATTAGGAATCACGTCATTGTGACTCTTATAAACATACTTTATGAATTGATTTACATAATTATGACGCAATGGCCATTGTCAGTCGTCATATATCATTGAATGCTCTCATAGGCAGCGGGATGTAACAAAGGGAGATAATGTATGTGTCCCTTTTGTGCAATTTGAAGTTGCTGAAATTCTCATCTTATATGCATTAGTCGATTAGAACTTCCCGATAAAGATCAGTTTCATCTTTGACAAATATCAATGTGTCAATGTTTAGGGTCTATTAAATAGTGACTGGTACCGTTTCAGCTTACATTTATCATTTGGGTAAGTTATCATGAATTGATGATCGTATGCCTCGTCTTTGTAAGAACTATAACAATCTAGAAAACGAGGTACATTTTTTATTGTACTTACAATATGTCAGCGTCACGTCGATCATATCTTGGTTGAAGGCAAATGAAATAAGGTTGATCTGAATAAAATTGATTAATAATGGGTTTGCAATGGGAAGGGGACCATGTGTGTGTTGATGATTTACAATGGGAAGGGAACCATGTTTGTGTTGATGATTTGTGGATGATTTGTAATGGGAAGGGAACCATGTTTGTGCTGATGATTTGTAATGGGAAGG